TTGATGAGTGTAACATCAGGATGAGCTTACATTTTTAAAATTATTAATAATTAAAGAATGATCTTGTATTTTGTGAACTATTGACATTTTTAAAGATATAAGCTTATCCCGATGTTACACTCATCAAGACCTTTCATTTAAGTACCCACATCAATTTTTCATATATTTATATATATATATATATATATATATATATGAATATATGAAAAATATATGAAAATGCATGTGGGTACTCAAATGAAAGCTCTTAACGAGTGTAACATCAGGATGAGCTTATATATTTAAAAATGTCAATATTTAAAAAAATACAGTGCAATTTAACAAAAGTCATTATTTAATAAAGTAAAATTTTATTCAGTTATAGTAAAACTGCAAGGTTGCTAATTATAATTAATTTATTTATTATAAAAATTTCAATATTTTTTAGCAATTAAATTATTATGAAAATAAATTATCAGAAATTTTTTTAATTGTTATAAAAATTAAAAATTGTCAGCTAACTTCAGTATCATTATTAATTTTATAAACTTACCATATAAATGCCAACAATCAACCCGAAGAGACCAATAGCAGAACCAAAGATCTCAACAATAAGAACTTTGACAAAAAGTGCGGAGTTTGCTGCGTCAGCAAGAGCAGCTCCGGATCCAACAATTCCGACAGCTATTCCACAGAAGAGGTTGACAAAGCCCACAGCCAGACCAGCTCCGAATATCACGTACCCTGCGACCCAATTTTTTTCCTTCAACTCCGGTCTCATCATCGTTTCGTTCCACGGGAACTCCGCGATTATTCCCGACAAGACAATCGCGGTAATAAGACCATAAATAGCGACTGCTTCGCAGAAAATAATTGAAATCAAATTTTTAGTCTTGATTCTCGGCGCTTTTACACCACCACCGACGATCGATACTCCGGTTGTATGAATTCCGCTAAAATAAAATTTTATTAAAATTAAGTACCAAATAATATTTTATTAGTAGGTCTCATCATGCTTACAGAGCTGCGCCGACTACTGAGAGAGCAACAGATAAACTGATACCCAAGGTTGCCCACATATATGGCGACGTGTTCTCCAAGAACCTAAAAATTATCAAAATTAATAAATAAGAATTGAAAAATAAAATAATTAATTATTAACTTACCAGGCAATACTGGCTCTTTCTCCCTTTCCAGTAAAAGTGTGATACAAAACTAAAAAAGTAACACATTAATTAAAAAATTATTAAATAATTTTTGTGACAAATAAATTATAGCGAAAAAAAAAAAAAATTGACGTAGAAAATTAATAAAAATTAAAAATGCAATTTTTAAAAAATAATTTTTTGGAACAAGTTTTTTTTTTTTTTATTAAAAAAAAAATTAAAAAGTGATCAAGTGACTGCTAACTTTAAATTAATGTCATAAAAATTATGGGAATAATTCAGACTCACCTAAAACTGAAATTGCTGCAGTCGCTGTCCCAGCAAACGTGTAACCTAATATATACCTCATTGTGAACTCTTTTGAGTAATTACTTCAATAAACTTGAAATGAAATATTCCTAAAAAGATTAAAAGTAGGGATTATAACAGTCGACTCCAAAAGTATGTTATCTGCTCAATCAATATTCGTGCAAAAAAATGTATATCGACTTTTAGGTGTTTCAGTGTCACGGATTTAATTACCTACAACTCCAGTGGTCTCTAATTGTTTAAAATTTTAACTAATTAACACTTATTTAATTTTTCTAAAATACTACAAACAAAATTTGGATGTTCACACCCGTAGACTGTCATGTGATGAACATGAAAATGAAAGCAGTATTGCCACTTTGTAGAAATGGATTTTATCATCATTATCAATATCTTTAATTTCTCAGTGCTCCCGTAGATGACACTTGAGTCGTTTTATTTATCCATCTCCTTATATTTTTCACTCACTATTTATTATTTCAAATATATTTATAGATCCAAATAAATATATCACTGTATTCCATTTTAAAAATCTTGAAATTTATTTAAATTATTAATTAGTATTTTTCTCTACAAATTTATTCAAAAATTTATAAAAAATTAAGCTGATTTAATTGACATGTCTGCTTTTGAAGTCTGAAATAAAAAATAAATTTTTAAAATTTGTCAATAAGAATCATTTTTAAAAAATTACACTGAAGTTAGCTGACAGCTGTCAATTTTTTAAATTTTTTTTTTTAAATCAATTTTAATAAAAAAAAATACTTCTAAAAATTTTTAAAAATAATTTTTTAATAATTTTATTGTTATAAAATTATAAAAAAATGTCTATTGTCGGTTAACTTCAGTGTCATTTATAAAAACTATCAAAAACTCACCATATAAATACCGACAATTAATCCAAACAACCCAATAGCAGAGCCAAAAATTTCAATAATCAAAACTTTAACAAACAGTGCAGGATTAGCGGCATCAGCAAGCGCAGCACTGGATCCAACAATCCCCACACCGAGTCCACAGAATAAATTGACAAAACCCACTGCGAGACCAGCTCCAAATATTATGTGTCCTGACACTATCATCTGTTCCTTCGCGTCGTAGCTCAAGGATTCAATATTAGAAACTGAAGATACTTTTCCAATCAGTATGATTGATGTGATCAGGCCGTAGATTGCGACGGCTTCGCAGAAAATCACAGAAATCAAATTCTTGGTCTTGATTCTAGGTGTCTTAACACCGGCTCCCATTATTGACACTCCAGTCGTGAAGATTCCACTGATACAAAGGTAAAATATATTTTATTTTAATTAATTTTTAATTTTAAGTAAGTACTTATACTTACAGAGTTGCGCCGATGATTGACAAAGATACGGATAAACAGATACCCAAACCTGCCCACAGGTAAGGTGAAGTATGCTCCAAGAACCTGGGCGATTTATTTTATTTTAATTTACAGAGTTTCAAGATTAATTATAAATTTTTACTCACCAAGCGATACTGATTCTTTCTCCCTTGCCAGTCAAGATGTGATACAAAACTAAAAAAAAATTATTTATGATGAAGAATACTTAAAAATAAGAATTAAATTCATAAAAAATAATTACCTAGAGTTAGGATTGAAGCTGTTGCCGTCCAAGCAAACGTGTAGCCGAGAATATATCTCATTTTAATATTTTTTAAATTTTACTTTAAGTAAGTAAAATTATTTTCTATTAAATAATTAATAAAAAAATCTTTATTGGTTATTATATTAATTATAATTATATAGTTTTTTATTAGATATTAAATTTACGCTGTCACTTTGGTGGAACAATTTTAACTATAATTAATGGACACTTACCTGTATTTTATATTCAAGTGTTATTAACCAATCATAATTTTTGGAAGAAGATAATATAAAAGTTTTAATTACACTATAAAAAATATATTTTCAAATTGACATTGAGTATGTCATGTACAATTATATGTAAGTACAATAGATTAATAAGAGACTAATCTAATCTAATCAAAAAATTTTTTAACTTTTATCTTTTTTTAAGTAATTCTTACCTTACTTTGATTTAATTATTTCAAAAATTAATTTAACAGATATTTAATATTTTTCTTAACAAATAAATTACAAAAAAAATTGACATGGAACAATTTAAAAAAATAAAAAATGGAATTTTAATGACAACTTTTTAAAATTTACAGATTATATATTAAAAATATCAAAGTAGCGACATCTACTCAATAAATAATATTCCACCAAAAAAATGACAGCTGTTGATACTAAAGATCTGTTGTGATTACTGATAAGCTCGGATCATCTGATACATAATATAAAAACTAATCAGTTCTGTTCTATTTTCTTCCTGATCCACGACTTGCTAAATTTAGACAGTGTCATAAATAATAATACAAAACGCCAAAGAACAATAATAATAATAATAATAACAACAATGATTGTGTCTACTATTAGCCTACTAGTTATCTTTAAAATTAATGGATAATAAATATTCTATTGACAATAAGCAAAAATCTAAATTAATTTTCAGTAACTAGTAAAAGTGTATGTGGAATTAGCAGTAATACGTCGTAGGCCCTGGTTCCGAGGAGAGGATAAAAAAACAAACTGAAAAAAGTGACAATGAATCATCGTCACTAGTACGACAGCTTATAATCAACGGGTATTGTTATGAAACATGAATTTCAGGCCCCACATTGACGATTTTCAAATATATATGTAGTGGCGTGATTCGTTATCACCATTCAATTATCCATCGTACGCGACACGTGATTACATTTTCATATTTTAAATACAATTTTTTCTCAGGTCACCTTCTATAAACAAGTAAATTATTTATTTATTATTATTATTATTATTATTTTTTTTTTTTTCATTTAAATTAATTGATAAAAATTTATTTTTGTATTTTTATTTATTTAGATAAAAGCAAAATGGCAGAAAGAGCTCAAACACCTCAAGCACCAACAGTTAAAATTGGTAATTATATTTTAGGAAACACTCTTGGAGTCGGTACATTTGGCAAAGTTAAAAGTATGTATTTTTATATTTTAAACAAATAAAATATTAAATAATGTAAAAGACCCAGTTATTGACACTGGCCTAGTTGTTTGACACTTGCGTGACATTAAAGTTAGAGAATTTTTTAACAAAAAATTTATTTTTAAAAAATTGCATTTTTAATTTTTTTAAATTTCTACATGTCAATAGTTTTTTTTATTATTTTTTGGCCATAATTTATTTGTTAAAAAAAATTCTAAAAATGATTAAATATCTGCTAAAATTATTATCACGACATTCTAATTAAAAAAATAAAATGTTCTTATTAATAAACAAATTATATTAAAATTTATAACTTAAAAATTCTATTTATTAATTTATTAGAGTTAATTTTTTTTTTTTTTAATTAAAATAAAATTGCAAGTGTCAATAACTGGGTCTTTTACCTTATTAAATCCAATAAATTGTATGACACTGAAGCTGACAGACATTAAAAATTTTTTTATAATTTTACAGTAATTTAATAATTAAAAAAAAAAAAAAATTTAATTAAAAAATTCCACATGTGAAAATTAATAAGAATTTTGTTATTGTAATTGTTTTAAAAAAATTTTTTAAATTGACAGCTGACGGCTAAACCTTCAGTATTATTAAATTGTTAATTAATTTAATTTTTAGTGGGAGAGCACGTAATAACAAAACACAAAGTAGCAGTAAAAATTCTAAACCGTCAAAAAATAAAAACATTAGATGTAGTAGGTAAAATCCGTCGTGAAATAGAAAACCTTACGCTGTTTCGTCATCCACATATAATTAAATTATACCAAGTAATAAGCACTCCAACAGACATATTTATGATAATGGAGTATGTATCAGGCGGAGAATTGTTTGATTACATTGTCAAGCACGGAAAATTAAAGGAGCACGAAGCGAGGCGTTTTTTCCAGCAGATTATTTCCGGAGTGGATTATTGTCACCGACATATGATAGTCCACCGTGACCTCAAGCCGGAGAATCTGCTGCTGGATCACAACTTACACGTCAAAATAGCTGACTTTGGTCTGTCGAACATCATGACAGACGGAGAGTTTCTGCGGACGTCCTGCGGCTCGCCAAATTACGCTGCGCCTGAAGTAATATCAGGAAAGCTGTACGCGGGTCCTGAAATAGACATCTGGTCTTGTGGAGTAATTCTCTACGCTCTGCTCTGCGGAACCCTGCCGTTTGACGACGAGCACGTCCCAACGTTGTTCAGGAAAATAAAGTCTGGGATTTTCCCGATTCCGGAGTACCTGAACAAGAGTGTGGTGAACCTTCTGTGCCACATGATGCACATTGACCCGATGAAGCGCTCGACGATCGAAGATATAAAGAAGCACGAGTGGTTCCAGAAGGACTTGCCAGCTTACCTGTTCCCTTCTTCTGTCGAGCAAGAGTCCTCGGTGATTGACGTTGAAGCTATCAATGAAGTCTGCGAGAAGTTTAACGTCAAAGAAGAAGAAGTCTACGCGGCTTTGCTGAACGGAGATGCTCATGATAATCTGGCTATTGCTTATCATTTGATTATTGATAATCAACGGATCGCTGATGAAGCTGCCAAGACTGAGTACAAGGAGTTTTATATGGCTTCTAGTCCTCCTCCTCCTCCTGCTACTACTACTACTGGGTCTAATGATTCTATTAATAGTCCGATCAGGCCTCATCCCGAAAGAATTGCTCGTAATTATTTTTTATTTATTCATTGGATTTTTTTTTTTTTTTTTTTTTTCATTGGATAAATTTTAATAATTATATTTTTATTTTTAGCATTCAGAGAACGGTCTCAGTCAGCTAGTGTTCCATCGGTTACACAAGGCAAAGCTGCTGCTGCTGCTGCTGCTACTGCTACTGCTACCAAACGAGCCAAATGGCATTTAGGTATTCGGTCACAATCAAAACCTAATGACATTATGACTGAAGTCTTTCGTACTATGAAAAATCTTGATTTTGTAAGTACATATTCTTATATTAAAAAAAAATTTATTTTGAGAAAAATGGGCTTTTTTATGACATGAAATTAATTTGATGGAAATTTGAAAGAATTTTACTTCTTCAGCTTAGAAATAAAATTTTTAAGAAATTAACTTCTTACTTCTTGTAAATAATTATCATTTTGCTAAATCTCTTAATAATATAGATTACATTTTTTTTAAAGAAATTTTTCTCAATGTAGTGAATAATTTTTTTTTTTTTGAAAAATTATTAATGCATTTTTTTTTTTTTGTTTTTAAGGAATGGAAAATTATAAATGCCTATAGTGTGAGAGTACGACGCAAGAACAAATTAACTGAGCGATACAGTTATATGTCATTACAATTATATCAAGTGGATTACCGTAGTTATTTATTAGATTTTAAATCTGTATCTGATGAAACTGAAATTCCTAACAGAGGTAATATTAATTTATTTTTTTTTTTTTTTTTTATATATAAGAGTATTAATTAGAGTGATTAATAAAATTAATTTTGTAGATCCAATGATACCCACAACAGGTGGTCACCGTACAATGGAATTTTTTGAAATGTGTGCTGCACTAATAACTCACCTAGCACGTTAATTTTACAATTTATAAATATATATATATATATATATATATATATATATATATTTATAAAATATTTCATAAGTATTAAGATATAATCTCTTGCTTTAGTTATTACTTCCATGATGATTATGTAAATGGGATGAATTAGATTTTAATGAAGCTGATGATTGTGTATATGAAAATTGAAAATTTTATTAATTTTTAACTTAACTATATCTATTCCATATAAATTGATAGTTGTAAAGATTTAATAAATATTTTTGTCTGGAATAAAACCGTAGCGAGTACTTATTACATCACACTATTAATTATTCAAGTACGAACGCGTATTCAATTCAATAATACAAAAAATAAATAATTATGTTCTTAATATATATAACATGCTTCAATAAATATGTCTGTTCCTTTAATTAATTACATCGAGTAGCTCGGCTTTCTGCTTGTGAGGTTCTTATGGGTGCCGGTAAATCTGTCCTTGCTCGGCGAAATAACAAAACATGCGGCTCTAAAAATAAAAATATTATTTTATTTACTAATTAAAAATTTACTACACCCACATTCATTAATTTACTTTAAACAATAAGTAATAATTAATGAAAGTGGAGTTTTGACAATCATTGAAAATTTTTTTATAAGTTTACAACAATTAAAAAAAATTATATGTTAAAAATAATAATAATGAATTTAGCAGATATTTAATAATTTTTTGAATTATTGTAAAAAATAAATTATGGCAAAAAAAAAAAAATAAAAAAAAAATTTATATGTAGAAATTTAAAAAGAATTAAAAATTAAATTTTTTAAAAATAATTTTTTGGAATTAATTTATTTGTTAAATAAAATTAAAAAATAGTCAAATAATTTCTAACTTTGATGTCATTAAAAATAAAGAAAAAATTATTAGTAAGAATTTTTTTGAAGCATTTTTTTATTTTAATTAATTAATTATAAAATTATAAAAAATTGACAGGTGTCAATTAATTTCAATATTATAATTAATACGGTGTGTCTAGAGATCCGACAACTCGGATAAATAAAATATAATTATATTTTTCCGATAATTGAAACTGATATTTTTTTAATTATCAGATGAAGAAAAAAATAATTATTGGCCTGATAATTTTAACAATATACAATAATTTTCTTATTATAAATAACCATTATTTAAATTATCGGACGACTAATTATTTTTCATTCATCCAAATTGTCGGATCACTAGCAACAGCCTAATTAATACCTGGACCATGCATCATGTAATGAACCCAACCAGGACTTTGTTGTACTCCTAAATTACGCCATTCAGTTTCAGACATTAAATGCGACTTGGGAACATTTTTAGCAATGTCAGACGGTAAAATGACGTGCCTAAAATATTAAAAAATCCATCGTTAAATAAATCAAGTAAATAAAAAAATTAATTAATTAATAAACAAAAAAAAACTAACAAATTTACTAACCTGTATTCAAACTTGTCATCACAATATTTTTCGGAGTACTGAATCTGATCAACAGACATGATTATTTTTCACAAAAACAAACGTAAGAAATACTAGATCTCCAGCTGTCTACACTCCAAAACTATTACAATAACAATAATTGTATTATTATTAATTAATTAATTAATAAATATTTAAGTGAAGTTTCTTATTGAATTGTGAATTCAAACAATTTGAAAGCGTTGAAAGTAAAAGTACGTTGATATTTAGTTTATTTTATTTCTTTGTTTTTTGTCACAACACAGCACCAGCATTATTATACATATATTTATTAGCGTCATAAAATTGACAGCTCGCGCCATCTGTCAGGCGAGCGGGTTATTAATTCGATTCCATGAAATGAAGAGAGAAAAATATTATAATTTAACGAGAATAGAAATAACCTTCAATAATCAGACAGCTGCCAACTCATCTTAATATTTCGCTAAAGACTGTCATCAACGTAAACAGTATTTTTGTGTAATATTATTTATATTATCAGATAAATACGACATGAAGTAACATCTTCGCAGTCATCTCACCAGTATAAATAACAATATTTGGTATTTATTATCTTAAACAAACTGTTTATATTGATCAACAACACTTGTCATCTGCAACTATATTATTATCCTTAATTATTAAAATAATAAGTATTTAATAACAATTGCAGGTAAAATGACGAGTACTTCAATAGGATATAATCCTGAAAATAATACCAAATTTTTGGAATCCCTGCAAGCCGATTTAAAAACACTCAGTTCTGAAACTAAAAAAAAATATCCACAAATAAAAGAAGTTAGTTGTCATTTGTTATTTATTACGTTGTCGGTATATATTTTAATTATTTGTCATTATATTTACAGTCATGCGAAGAATGTATGGCAAAGCTGAGAACAGCTATAAACAATCCAGGAACTCCGATTTATCCTATTGTCAATCAAATTCTATATCCTCTGGTCCAAGGATGTGAGAGTAAGGATGTTAAAATCATTAAGGTACATTTTTTAAATAAATAATTATTATTTAAGACACTGAAGTTAAACTGACAAATTTTTTTATAATTTTATTATGAAAATTAAGTAAGCCGACATCTAAAAATTTTTAGAATTTTTTTTATTGAAAAAATTATTTAAAAAAAAATTTTTTTAGTTCTAATTTAATAAATAAAAAAAAAAATCAAAATTAAAAACGTCGGGTAATTTTATTATTATAATAAATAAAAAAAAATTCTTTATGAGAAAAAAAAAATTAGTGGAAATTTTTTTTAAGTATTTTTTCATAATAAATTATATGAATAATTAATGACTTAAAAATAATTGCCGTAGTTTTGTTTGGGAATGATGCAAAGACTGATAACCCAGCAAGCAATAGATCAAAAAGGAGCTCGTTATATAACAGACACATTATGGATGTTAATGGAGCTCGGTATGGAGGAAGTAAAAGTACTGCAGACAGTAACTCTATTACTGACAAGCAACACAATTGTCCACGGAGAAATACTGTCGAGGAACCTAGTGCTGTGCTTCAGACTCCACTTTACCAAAGACTCGACAACGATAAACACAGCGAGTGCAACAGTAAGACAACTAGTGTCATTAGTATTCGAACGTGTGATAGCCGAAGATGAGAAAAATCCAAGTGAAATTGAAATGGAGAAAACCGTGTTGGAAGAATTGAAAGCGTGCACCGGGCAGCCGCCAAAGGGACTGGCTCCCTGTGCTGCTGATGCTTTTTTGATGTTTCAGGACCTCGTGCAATTAGTAAACGCCGACTCGCCGTACTGGCTGATCGGAATTACCGAGATGACGAGGACTTTTGGGCTGGAGCTTTTGGAGTCTGTCCTCACAAACTTCTCCTCTGTATTTTTTAAGCATCCGGAATTTAGTTTTTTACTGAAAGAACGCGTCTGTGCGTTAGTTATTAAATTGTTCTCACCTAATATTAAATACCGTAATTCTGTACCTGCTTCAGTACAGCAAGCCACGCCTCTTGATAAACCGTATTTTCCAATAAGCATGAGACTTTTGAGAGTTGTTTCTATATTAGTACAAAAATATCATTCATTACTGGTAAATATATTTTTTTTTTAACTAAATTTAAAGCTTAGAATTTTAATACTAAATCATTCAATATTTTTTTTTTGTAAAACTATTACGTAAATTTAAATAAAAAAAAAATATAAATTAATTTATTATTTTTCAGGTCACTGAGTGTGAAATATTTTTATCATTAATTGTAAAATTTTTGGATCCCGACAAGCCAGCCTGGCAACGAGCTTTAGCGCTCGAAGTTTTGCACAAAATGACAGTACACACCGATCTTCTAACAAGCTTCTGCGAGTGTTACGATTTAAAGCAACATACCACGCATATTTTTCAAGATATAGTCAACAGTTTGGGTGCTTACGTACATAATCTTTTTATTAATTCACCTGTTGCGAGTCAAGCTGCTGGAGGTAGTCATTTAAAACCATTAATATATCGCATGACAAATGTCAAAAGGGTGTATAAAAAAAATTTTTTTCTGCAAGTCAAATTAAAATCGTTCAAGACGCCGAGATCAGTAAAAAAAATTTTTTTTTAAGCTAAAAAAGCGTGTAGAGAAAATTATGTTTTTTAGTAAAAAAAAAACATGAAAATAATTTAGCATCGATGAAGCAATATTATAATTAAGGTGAAATATGAAAAATTGAACTATAAAAAGGGAAAATGAGCAAGGAAAAAATTTTTTTTCAGTTTTATTTGACTCTATTTGGAATTTTAAAAAATTATCCAATTTTTTTCTCTTTCTTATGTTTGAAACTATTTTATAAGATTCAGATTAAGAAAAAATTTTTTCTTTTCAAAAATTAATCATTAAAATATATAATTTGAGACATACATTTTTTTAGACTTAAAATTTTTTTTATTTTTCATGTCAAAATATATTTGCAAAGTGATTACCAACAAAATAAAATTTTCTCTGCCCTTTTGGTATTTGTCACGCGAAAAATTATAATTCTAACAATTTAATAAAAATAATTTTCAATTAAATTTTTAAAATTGACAAATTGTAGCCGCAGTCCAATCAGCACAAGGAGCAGCGCCAAGTCTGCTAGCGGGGATGCCAGTGGGCCCAGGAGTAACACCCCAACCCGGTTTCTATTCCCGAGGCGTCTGGTTACCAGTAGTAGCAACTTTCTCCAGTGGTCAAGCCAAGTCAGTCTACTTAGAAATGCTGGATAAAATAGAACCACCACAAATTCCTGACGGCTACGGAATAAGTATCGCGTACGCATGTTTGCTCGACATAATAGGCTCGATATCTCTCGCAATTCTAGGATCTAAAGAGCAGAACGGTAAAAATCGTTGCAATGCAACAGAAGCCGAGCGCAAATTACACATACAATTAATAAACTCAAGCTGGTGCGGACTATTAGCAGCATTGAGTCCCCTAGTCGACGCCAGTACCGATGAGACAGCTACAGAGAATGTCTTAAAAGCGATACAGAGTTTCGCATCGCTCTGCGGTCTACTAGAACTCCAAACTCCCCGAGACGCATTCATAACAGCGATCTGCAAAGCGTCTTTACCTCCACACTACGCTCTGACTGTCCTAAACAACGCGCCCCAGGGGATTCCGTCAGCCCGTTTACAAGAACCGAGCCAGTACAATCCTTCAACAATGGGCGAGCAGGACTACCGTCAGCAGGTAGTGGTGGTAGGAACGCCTCTACCAACAGCTTCACTCCCAATTGGAGCGCAGCAAATTTCCGTAATGCTGACTGCCAAAAATCTGCAATGCATGCGTGCGTTGTTAATGCTAGCGCATTGCCACGGAAGCATCCTCGGCAGCGCCTGGCACTTGGTGCTCACGACCCTCCAGCACCTGGTCTGGATCCTCGGCCTCAAGCCTTCTACCGGCGGATCTTTAAAAGCCGGAAGAACAGTCACAGACACCAACGCCGTGCTAACAACAGCAGTGATGGCTGATCTTCCAGTGCTCAGCGCGATGCTGAGCCGACTTTTTGAGAGCAGTCAGTACCTGGACGACGTCGCCTTGCACCACCTCATCGACGCACTCTGTAAATTAAGCCAGGAAGCCATGGAGCTGGCTTACTCAAATAGAGAGCCTTCTTTGTTCGCAGTAGCCAAGCTTTTGGAAACTGGCTTAGTAAATCTTCCGCGAGTGGAAGTTCTCTGGCGACCTTTGACCAACCATTTACTAGAAGTCTGCCAGCATCCGCACATAAGAATGCGTGAGTGGGGTGTCGAGGCGATAACCTACCTAGTAAAAGCAGCCTTGCAGCACAAGTACCCTCAGCCTCTTCGAGACAATCAAAAGCTTCAAACTCTCTTACTGGGGCCTCTAGCAGAACTGTCTTCAGTCGGACATGCCGACGTGCGTCACCGTCAACTCGAGTGTGTTCTCCAAGTTCTCCAGGGTGGAGGAGAGACTCTATTCCACGGCTGGCCCCTAGTACTCGGTATCATCGGCGCTGTTTCTGATCACCACGGTGAAACTCTGGTTCGCATCGCGTTCCAGTGTCTCCAGTTAGTAGTCACAGACTTTTTACCCGTCATGACCTGGCGATGTCTTCCACTCTGCGTCGACACGGCAGCTAAATTCGGCTCACAAACCCAAGAGCTAAACATTTCTTTGACTGCTGTGGGACTAATGTGGAATTTAAGCGACTACTTTTTTCAGAACCAAGAAAAATTGTGTCATTCTTTAAAAGGCGACACCGGTTCAATATTCCCCGATTTTCCGGGCACGACAAACATGCCACCATTCGACAAACTCTGGATGTGCCTTTACACAAGACTAGGAGACCTCTGCGTGGATTCAAGACCAGCTGTCCGTAAATCAGCCAGTCAAACATTATTCTCGACAATTTCTGCCCACGGAGGCTTGCTCAATCAGCCAACTTGGCAAGCAGTCCTCTGGCAGGTGTTATTCCCGCTTTTAGACAAGGTGCGTAATTTATCCAGCTCTGCCAGTAACGAAAAAGTCGACACCAGCGGGAACATTCTGATCCACCACAGCAGAAACACTGCGCAAAAACAGTGGGCAGAAACCCAAGTTTTAACTCTAAGCGGAGTCGCAAGGGTCTTTAATACAAAAAGACAATTACTTCAAATGTTAGGAGACTTTCCTCGTGCTTGGTCACTTTTACTTGAGTTCATCGAACACTCCGCGTTGAGTAAGAACAACGAAGTATCTTTAGCAGCTCTGAAATCTTTCCAAGAAATTTTATACATTCAAAAAAACGGTGACAATACCGAAAGCATGCCTGCTGGAGAGCCAGAGAATCTTTGGTTCGTCGCCTGGCGCGTCTGGCTAAATATAGGTATGGAGAGCGCAACTCCCCCCAATGACGACGAAGTAGAGCCCTATGTTCCTTCTCAAGCATTCCTCGCTGCGCTTGTTCAGATATTTCCTGCTTTATTCCAGCATATCAGGAAAAAATTCACGGGCTCAGATCTCAAAAAATTATGCAAAGTCTTGAAAAACGTCGTGCAAGTTCCAGTTCATGGAGAATCGACCCCGTATATTCTCCCTACGGTGCCAGACGTCGTGCTGACTCAGCTGCAAGACGGAGTGCTTCATTCAATGGAACTTCTTCAGAAAGAAGCGCTTACAGGCGCTGACAATCTCCGAACTATGATTGGCTCGATATTTCTGCAATTGTTGAACTTTACCAAACTCGCTTGTCACGCGCCTACTTACGGGAAGTTGACAACGAAGCATTTGTCCCAAGTAAGAGGCATGTCTGCTGACTGGGTGAGTATGAACTACGTACCTTTTGGAGAGAAAGCTTTAACTATGGTCGTTAATTTGTATCAAAAAACAGCTGCTGAGCAAGTTGTGATTGATGAAGAAATTTTGAAGCACATTATTGAAGCGCTGAGAGTTCCCTTGGCGATGAAGTACGCCTGTCCTTCTTCCACCACGTGGAAGCTAGCTGTGACGAGTCTGTTAGCTGTTTTACACACTGGGTTACCATTGGCTAGGATGTATCCCGAAAAATTCCAAAGCATGTGGCCGGTTTTGGCTGATACTATGGATGAATTCTTGTTCCCCAAAAGTGTGGTTAAAGTTGAGAGGAACATTGATGAGATCCAAGCTGATGAAGCGGTTGATTGTCAAGTTATGGAGCTGCTTAGAGATAAAGTTTTACCGCATAGTCAACACATACCGCATCAGTTTATTTTAAGGGTGATCATGTTGCTGAACAAGGGCTCGATACACTCCGCAACTTCTACGAATATTGAAATGAACGGAGAGACTAAATTAAGGGAAGAGTTTGCGAAAACTTGCTTTGAAACTTTATTGCAGTTTTCATTACTTGAAGGGCTGAATAATGTTCCCGAATTGTCGATTGAAAATAATACTAAAGATTGTGATGAAGGTGGTATCGCTGGACGGTTAGCTGTCACTGCTCTGCTTCATAGATTTCAGGAGGTCCTTTGGCGGTACATCGAAGATGAACGACGAAGTAGCAAGTGTCCGTTGCCTCGGTACAGAATGTCAGAGATTTCATTTGTATTAAAAGCTGTTGCCACTCTTGTTGTTTCTCTTAAAAAGGCTCCGGCTAATAAAGTCGAAAGGTCTGTTTGGATGCAATTAATTGAACTTTACCCTTGTCTAGTTGAGTGTAATTTGGCGACAGCTTCTCCGCAAGTGTCTAGGTCGCTCAGAGAAGCTCTTATGCAGTATCATGATTTATTAAGACCTCCTCCTGATAGTCCGCTTACGTCGAATGGTGTTTGACCTAGGCCTGTTTTATTAAATTAATAACGCACTTTATAGTTATATGATAATCTTAGATTGATATTGTAGATTTAAAAATTTTATTTATTAATATTTAATATTATTTTTATTTGATTTAAATTGAAATTATATAAGAGGTCATTTTTTTAATAATAATAATAATTAATATTACGAATTATATACATGTTTTCATTTTATGAAAATTTGTGAGAATATTTTACATTCTTTTTGTAAAGAAAAAAAAATTTACAGCTGCTGTGATTGTATGTTGCTTAAAAAAAGAAAAAAATAGAATATTTGCTTGATATCAAATTTCACTACTTTTTAATAAGTAATATAAAATAATAAATCTTGCAATGTTAATTAAGATCAAAGAGGCCTTAGTCAATTTATTAAATTCACGTTCAAATAAACGCAGGTATTAATTGTGTATAAGAAATATTTTTTAGTTTGTTTTATTAATTTTTACTTTGTATATTTGAATCTTTGAAAAGATACTTTTATGTTGTATTTTATCAGTAGATCAAAATAGCTTTATTCAAAATTATATTGTTTTGTTTTGTGAAAAATAAATTGTTGGGTTTAAAACAGGGACATTTGTATACTTTAAGCATTTGCTCATTGTAAAAATTAATTTTGTATAGTTGAATCATAATTAGTGAAGTAAAAGATACAATAAAATATTGACAGAAATTTAAATATTATTTACCAGTGCTCTAATTATGATTTGTAGTTCGATAGTAGGAAGATATCGAATTCAAAGTCATGTAATATTATCAAACTACTGTCTCGATTGATATTACACAATTTGTGTTGTAATAACTACATAATAATAAATAGTGAGTCTGATAAATGCTTTTTGACTCAGTTATTTAGATGTTATTATATATTGTACCGTTATACAAGTAATTAAAAATTTTTCATAATTTAATTCTACAAAAAATCATCGAGTGCGATTACAAAACTTTATAATAATATTACAAATTTGTAAAAGATTCAAGTGTGAATTAGTATTAATTATCAATAATGTAAATATCCTAATAAAAACTATGATACAAATTATTTCAATATTTTATTCAATATCAAAACTCTCTTTTTAACTTATAATACAGATGTAAAAATTTTACTATCACTTGTTAATTATTATATCAAAAAATAAGAATTTTTTTTTCAATAAATTTTTCCTGCTGTAATTTATTTGTTAAAAAAATTCTCAAAATTGACAAATATTCTTTCATACAATAAAGTTCATCAACCTACCACTTAAAAATCAACAAAATAACTTTATAATACCGTTGGAATGTTTTATTCTATCCAACAGAATTTCTCCCCTTGTTTACTTTGAAAATAAACAAATAATTTATCAAAAAACAAACATTAAAAATAAAATTTATAAGACATTGAAGGTAACTGACATTATAGTTTTTTTTTTTTTTTATCATTCTACATTAATGATATTATTATGAAAATAATTTAATACAAAAATTTCATATTTAAAAATTAAAAAAAAAAAATCATTACAAATTTTTTTTATTGTAATTGATTTAGTATAAAAATTTCAAAAATTGACAGTTGTCAGCTAACTTTAGTATTATAAAATTATAAAGATGCTAAAACAGCAAACATTTGATCATTTTTGATTTTTTAAATCAACAAAAATTACAATGAAAAAAAAAAATTGTTTAAATTGCACTTAAAATTTTTTAATACTAAAGTTAGCCGACGTTTTTAATTTTTTGATGTTCCATTTATTAAATTAGAACTAAAAAATATTTTTAAAAAATTGCACTTATAGTTTTTCAAATTTCGTTATTTTTCATTTTTCTATAATGATTTTTTCAATAAAAAAAAATTCTAATAATTTTCAAATGTCGGATAATTATATTTTCATAAAATTATATTAAATCAAGATTAAATATCCCATAAAATTTTTCTACCTACTCAGTATACCTATATATGCACTCACGAATACATAAAACATATCAGTTGTTATTTTTTTCTTGCACACGTGTCTCCATTGTTGCCAGTTAGCTCCAGAATGTTCATTTTTTCCCACACACATGTTCGCAGACTCTTTGCCTCCTTAAATTGAAAGAGCTAAGCCAGCACACCAGCAGAGCAGAGAAAGAATTCTTCAATACAAATCTTAGCTCTTGCTCCCTCCCACATAACTTCAAACTATTTTAAATTTTGACCGTTGAGGTTTCCTCTTTCTTCTGTTTCGTATTGTCGGACGATTGGTCCGCTGACTTTCAATGGATGGGAGACCGGTTGTTCGCGCGCTCAGATTGGTCCAGACCCTCCCCGTGTGTGTATGTACGTACGTGTATGTGTCAGCCTGTTGCTTCGGCTTTTAATATAACGCGTTCTCTGTTTCTCTGTTGGTGGTTGTGATGATGATGCTGAATAGCTCTCGCCTTTACTTGCATTTTTTTTTTTTACCAACCACTCGGTCTCCAGTTTCACTCGGTGGTTTACGAATATATACAGTTGGCAGTGTCAGTGATGTTGATTTCATTTTTAATTTATCTCAGGCCAATTTCAAAAGGCAATAAAACAATAATACTGTGGTAATATATAATAATTAAACAGTGAAATATAATATAATTGTTATAAAAATAGTGAAGGATTAATCAAATATTCAAAGGAATTCAAGCGATTTGTTTCGTCATCAGTTTTTTTTCTACTTGTGTAAACTTCAAGGTACAATTACATTTTAATAAAGCCTACTCATTTTTTTTTTTTTAATAATAATAATAATAATAATACTTACTGAAATTGGCAAACATCTAACAATTCTTGAAATTTTTTTATAAAAATTAATTTAGCAGGTATTTCATTACTTAAAAATTTTTTTTTTTTAATTATGACGTTAAAGTATAAGAATTAAGTTAGTCGACATTTAAAAATTTTTAGAATTTGTTTTATTTAAAAAATTATTACAAGATAATAAAAAAAAAAAAAAAAAAAAATTTCATTTGTAAAAAACTTGAAAAACTATAAATGCAATCTCTAAAAAATACTTTTTAGTTATTATTTAATAAATGAGAAAATATCGGCTAACTTTAGTTTTATTGTTAGAGTTAGCAATTTTGAGTATTTTTTAATTTTTTTTAACAAACAAATTTGTTTTGAAAAATTATTTTTAAAAAATTTTTGTTTGACATAATTTAGTTGTTATAAAAAAAAAAATCTTAAAATTACTAAATATATTTGCTAATTAATTTTCATACAATTTTTTTAAATTTCTAAATGTTGAATTTCATTGCCTAATTTCTTTATAATTATAATTGAATTGTTATAAAAATCTAAAAAATTATTAAATGTTTATTTAATTCAGTATCATATAATAATTTTATTTATTTTTTTAGATTACATATTCAGTGATTAGATTTAAGCAAGTGATTGCGATACATTAATCAAAATATTAAATCCACGATGAGTGATTCGAGTGACAATGTCAAGTATAAGTGGACACCTGACAGTACTTCCCTGTTGGTCTCAGTATGGGCAGATCGACAGGTGCAGAAGCAATTGGAGTATGCGACAAAACCGCAATTGATATGGGAAAGTGTAGCGAGGTATATGCGCAAAAAAGGATATGAAGTTACGGCCAAGCAATGCAGATCGCGGATGAAGCAAGTGTTGGTGTGCTACAAGGAGGCTAAAAAAAGTGGGACGAGAGCCGGAGTCGAGCGCTACTATGAATCGATTGACAAAGTGTTAGAAAGCAAACGAATTGAGAAGAATATAATTAATGATAATGGAGTAGATACTGTTGGTAAGTTATTATCTGAATAAATATGATAAAGTTGTCGTGATTTACTGACGCCTGTTTAATGTTGTAATGGATTTCAGATTCTACTAAAGTTATCAAGTCACCGCCGAAGGAGATTAAAACTAATGTTAATATACGTATGCGACAGAATAAATTCGATGATCCAATTAATAAAAATATTGAAGTTATTCCTGGAGATTGGCAATTTGGTACTTTAATTAAATAATTTTTTTTTTTTTTTTGATAAAGAAATTAAACGACATTTGACAATTTTATTTAAAAAATTCTATTTTTAGAAGCTCTAAAAAATTACAATTTCAATTTTTAATAAATAATTTTCTAGTTTATCATTAAAAGTTATTTTTTTTTTTTTATTGTAAAAAAATTTTTCAGAACATGATGAATACGCAGATTCATCAGAGTCCAACGAAACAGTCCTAGCCCGTCCAGTATATCGCTGCTTTTCTCCAATGAAAAACGCCGGAACAAGCACAATCACCGACACGATGCCTTTAAACAAAACCGCGCGACGTTCGTTACTAATTCCCAGTGACGAAAGAATAAGATACGAAAACGGCGAGAGGTACTTTGAGATCCCGACTAAAAACAGCGTTCAGAATGTGCAAAATCAGATAATCCAAGAGAATATGATGCTAAAAACTCAGCTGCGTGACAACATCCAGCAACAACAACCAGAGTACCGTCCTCTGAACATAAATCCTCGGCCACAGCCTCAGCAGAATATACTGTACCACCCCAATCGTGTCTCAACAAATATGCAAAGAATTCAAAGCCAGCTCCAGCATTACTGCATCGGAAACAACGGAGCGCGGCCTCAAGAGCCGCGCAAAATAATAAATCCTGATGAAGAACTAATGAGAAATGAAATGCACCGGTATTACTCGGGTACTGACGAGTACCCGGACATGGAGCCGAATTTAAATCAAGGGTTTATTAGTGTGAAGAATAACAAAGCGCACAATCTCAATGAAACTTATGATCAAACAATGTTTGGCCCTAAAGTTCCTTGGCAAGCAGATACCACGACTATTACCAACAACGCTACGTTTAATGATGACACACTGTCTATTGAATTTCTCCAGGACTCGCCAAGCCCTTCAGAAAATGAAGGAGTAGAAGTAAATGGAAAAAGTAATTCGTATGACAATCGTACAATCCCAAATGCTCCAGTGAGGACTAAAAAAATCCAAAAGCTGGAACAGTTGATGCTAAATGCCATATCATCGCAGACAGAAGTGGTGAATAAAATCCTCGCTGCTCAAGATATCATGGTCTCTCGAATTTTAGACTTTGATAAGGACCGCCAAAGTCGCCTGGAAGATCGTTTGAACCAGCTGATGACTGTGGTCCAAGCAACAGTCGCTAAAAAGGAAACTGAGCCGGAAGAAGTCCAGCAGATAAATTTCCCAACTTGTTTTTCACCTCCGCCAAAACCTGGAGCTGTACCGCCAAAGCTGGACCTGGTACCACCCAAGCCATGCCGTGTGCCTTGTACAAGTCCAGGAAATGTCGAATTGATAAATCAAAATCCTGTGCAAACTCGTCCCGGAGTTATTGGACCCACTAAGCCGGGTACTATTTGGACTAAGCTTGGGCCAGTGTCTCAATCTCCGTTCGTGAGAGCCCAGCAGCAAATTTCAGCGGTGACCAAAGCTGCTGAACACTGGAGGACTCAGTCGTCTGCTGAGCGACGCATCGCTCAAGCTTGCAGTTCGGTTAATAATATTAAGAGCTTGATTACTGAGACTATCAAGTTTGTCAATAATGAGAAGCTGATAGAGGAGAGGATAGAGAATGCCAGGCGCACTTTGAATCCTGAGAAAGATCAAACAGCTCGTCGTAAATTGTTTGAAGCTCCGGAGGAGAAAAAAGAGCCTGGGAGGAAAGAACCTTGCGCTGCGATAGTTCTGACTTCTGCTTTTTTGGATATTGAGCGACAAGCTGAAGAAAAGTCCCGTTATGTTGCGTCAAGATATGGAGAAGAAGAGTCCAATTCTAGTGATGATTTGCTGACTGGTCAGGGAGAAAGTTACGATCGCTTGAGGCGGTTAAGCATTCGAAGGAAGCCTAAGAGTGTTCAAGGTAGATAGATAGATATGTTTTTTATTTGTATCACAAAATATTAACATTAGTATTATTAAATATTATTTATATAAACAAACCCAACAGCTTAACCCATTAACAGGGTTAATAGTTACAGTAGTTAGTATATAAAAAAAATTTATAATGTATAAGAAGAGTATCAGGTGTTATTATCCCCATGACAAAAACCCCGACAAGTCTTTTTTTTAAAATGATTTTTCTGCCTGTCTAGCTTTTTATGTTAATTGTCCAAAAACTAATATTTTATTTTAAACTGTTAAAGGTAATATTCTTGGAGATAAGCTGGACACTTCAACGCCGGCTAAGACGGCTCGGGATAATTGTAATAATAATAATAATAATAATAATAATTACGACGATGAACCGCGACAGACTATCCAACAGCTGGCTGATTTGGTAATGAAGAGCGCGAGGTTCAGGAATGTCGAGCCTATTAATCCGGGTAATCAACAAAAACTATCTGTTCACTTCCCGCAGCGACAGGATCTGCCGACTAGACCTACACGTGAAAAGGATAGAGAGACACAGCGACAGAGCTGTAATAAAGCATATGATTGGCTGACTGATAGATACTCTTACGGAGATAAACAATCAATTGGACAGTTCAATGAACCAATTTATAATGCACACCCGATTGGTTTCACTGCAGCCAATTTGAATATCAACGATGAAAATATCGTCAGGCCGACGTTCGATCGGCAAGTTGGATTCCGACAGGACATGCTGAAGAAATATCAAGAGTTAAATGACATTCAGAATATTAGAGAGATGAAAAATCGCGAGCTGATAGATATATACGCTCCGGACTCTAAACCTCGGCGTCGAGGTTCTGGTGATGACGACGATGAAGAATTCCTTGACACTACGACTACTTTGCAGCCCTACAGGAAGACGTCATCATTAACTTCTTCCGGCACTGAGCATTCCGCTAAAGCAGGAACTAACTGTGTTATCTCATAGCTAGAGTTTATTGAGTATATTTTTGTACTTTGCTTTTTTATTATTATTATTATTATTATTATTATTATTATTATTATGTTACTTTTTTATTTTATAGGCAGCTGGAGAACATGCAATAATTTGTATGTGCAATTGAAATTTATTATTGCTAGTGGATTAGTAACATATGTCTTCCAATGTCATACAATTATTTTGTTATTACTTTTATCTTTACTCATTGTTTTTTGAGTAGATACTGCCATAATTATATTTTTCTTTTTCACATTGTTTTTTATTAGTATATAAACTTTATTATCAAATTAAAATTATAACAGACGATTAAAATTTTTTATACTTTGTATTTCATAAGAAATAAAAATAAATCTTTATATTAATAGTCTGTATTATTAATATAAGAGAAATTAAGAGAATAAGAAAAATTTTGTCTCCAGAATAGTCATAATTTAATCTAGTGAACTATTGACATTTTTAAACATATAAGCTCATCCCGATGTTATACTCATCGAGACCTCTCATTTGAGTACCCATATCAATTTTTCATATATTCATATATATTATATATATATGTATATATGAAAATGCATGTGGGTACTCAAATGAAAGCTTTTGATGAGTCTAGCATCGGGATGAGCTTATATCTTTAAAAACATCAATATTTAAGAAAATATAGTGCAATTTAACAAAGGTCATTATTTAATAAAGAAATATTTTATTTATTTATAGTTCACATGTCACAACAGTCAGATAGTGACTGTAAGGTTGCTGGTAATTATATTAAATACTTAAATTATAATTATTTGTAATTAATTTCCAGTTTAAATTATATCTTTAATATGACCACTGAAAAGAACAATGTGCTCGCTTACAATTTGGAAGAAAAATGGTCTGTCTACAATGAAATGCGCTCTCTTCAGTGAACTATCACTGAATCCCAGTCTGTTTTGAAGATCAAATACTGAAAAAAAAAAAAAGATTTTTTTTTTATTCATCTATAAAAAAAAATTTATTTATTGATAATATAAAATTTGTTTTAGAGTGCGAGAGTTAATGCGAGCCGATAGTAAGAACATTACCTTTCTTCGAAAGAACAGTGTCCAGAAAAAAGTGTCACTGCATCTAGATCACCAAGTCGTTTAATGATTAAGTAGTAGAAAGGACGATCGATACGAAAGTCAAATGGATATTGTATGGAGAACGATGTGATTTGTAAGCCTTTAATATTTTTTAAAAGTAGAAAGTTTAAAGAATATTAGCAAAGAATTTAGAACATTTAAGCCAAGGACAGTTATTACAATTAAAATTAGCGATAAAAATTTATTAATTACAGTAGTAACAGAAGGCAGCTGCGTAAGAAGGCAAGAAAAAAAAATTAAATGACTCACCTGTAGCAGCAGCAGCTTCACTGCCTTCTTCGTTGACCTCAATGAAAGACTTTTGAACTATTTTGCTTACTTTCAGCGGAGGAACATCCATTATTCCCGTAAAATTAGCGGTATCTTCGAACATTTGGTTCATACCAAGGGCGTTAAGTGGCTTTTTAAGGTCGATTTTACTTTCTATTTTAAATTTAGGCAGAAATAGATCTATTTCAAATTGTTCTCCAGAAAGAAGTCGCTCGAATTTTAATTTATGAAGACCTGCTTCGATATCACCGAGCCCGGTGATTTCATCAGGGAGAATTATTATCATACTCAGTGAATCTGTCAAATCAGTACTCTAAAATAATAAATTAAAATTTAGTAATTTTCAATTTTACTCTTAAAAAAATAAAATGTTCTCAAAAAACCTTAAAATTTATTATTCAAAAATTATACTTATTAATTTACTAGAGTTGATTTTTTTGAATTGAAATAAAATTGCAAGTGTCAATAACTGGGTTTTTTTTTTACCTAGCATTGGACTAATAAAAAAAAAATTTTTTTAATTAAAATAATTACCTCATAAGGTATTTCAATAAATCTGGCATTCAATTCGGGAAGTATACCGTAACGATAATTTGCTAATCTATGCATCATTGGCACCATTTTAGTTCTTTGTTCATCCAGGTGGAATGTCCTTGGATGAGTTTCATTCTCAATAAATTTATCAGCCCATATTCCTTTGAAATAAATAGCGTTTACAAGAACAAGCGCAGTGTCTGCATTCAAATCTCCTGTAAATTTTAATTTAATATCAAAAGACGTTAAAAAAATAATTTTATTTAACGTATGTAAAAGACGTAATTATTAATACTTGCAATTTTATTTTAATTAAAAAAATAACAAATTTAATAAATTAATAAATATAATTTTTTAATTATAAATTTTAAGATTGATTTCTTGAGAAGATTTTATTTTTTTAATTAAAATAAAATTGCAAGTGTCAATAACTGGATCTTTTACTTTATATTTATTGTATTTTATTTTAATTGAATTTTACCAGGTTGTACAACGTCTTTAATTCGTGAATGAGTCTCTTTTTCGCACCAATTATTAATAATTTGACTGGAAGCTTCAGCATTCATAAAATCAAGACTCTCTGCAACAGATCTGAATGTCGACTCAGTAATATTTATAAACGCAGGCTTGATCGGCACGACGTTAGTCACGAAAATTTTATTCGCTAATTTTACTTGAGCTTTATCAATCGTCTGAAAAAAATTAAATTAAAAATTTCCTTACAACTAAAATTAAACCAGCTAAAATAGTAATATAATAACTAACATTGAAATTATCGATCAAAAAATTAATCCCAGTTTTCTGGACATAATTTTCATAGTTGAGATGCAGAGCTTTGGTCATTTCTTCAGCAGTTTTACCCCGAGCTCCATAAGACGCCATCATCAGTACCATCGCTGCGCTCAACGGAGAGCAGATAAAGTTATCCACTACATCTTTAGACACAGTCTAAATAAAAGAATATAAAAATTGATTGGTTAAATATTTTTTTTAGTTATCAACTACGTGAGCTGGCAGTAAATATTTAATGTCTTACCTCATAAAATTCTGAAGAAAATTGATTAATACTCGCTGATACAGCACGAACGGCATGACGTTTATCATCACTTGATAAATTTAGTCTCATAGAACTCGTACATTGGATTAAAATAAAAATAAATATTCCACAAAATATTCCTGTAATTAATTTTAACAATTAATATAAATTATTAATATTTTTACATGTTTTATTCTAAAGATTCTTTAAATATAAAAACATCCAAAGAGTTCGAACTGCGCGTCACTATCTCTCAATTGATTTGGAGTTTATCTACAAATTGAAACTCTAAACTATCTCGAATAATATGAAATGTTTATTATTAATTTTTTATTATTATAAATAATTATTTAAAATAAAACTCACCGCGATTCATAATAATGTGAATGACCTCGGAACTTGTACTGCGCTCTGAAAAAAATCTTTTAAGTTCCGTTAATTACACGATCAAACCAATCGACACAACGGTAATCACAACAGTTATGGTCCCGAGCTACCAAGACATCGACTATTTGAATTTATTCCAACCCAAGTATTTAATCCCCCCACTTTGTCAACAATCATCTGTTCATTACACAATAATTTATTTCAAGCTTGTCCACCCAAACCAATACTAATAAAAATACTCATTTTACTCTAATTTAATCTGAAAAATAGAAATTTAATTTAATTCAACAATTAAATTGCAAGAAAAAAAATTGCACGCATAATTTTTAAAATCTTCTGTATGTAAAAATTTTTTTCAATATAAAGAAAATTTTAAATGTCGGCTAATTTTCCTGATTAAACAAAATGATTTGATGATTAATTTTCTAATTATTTTTAATCATTTTAAATCATATCTTTTATGGGCATTTAACATTGTGAAATAATTTTGTTTAATTTTCATAATAAAATTTACTATCTATAAATTATAATTATAATTATATGACTAAGTAGTATAGTTTTAAAAACTCTGTTGTACTTTTTTTATTTAGATTAAAATTAGAGTCAATGTCAAAATTAATGATTTAATTTTTTTTTAAAAAGCAGTAACGCTTAAATTCTTTTAAGAGCATTTTCACAAGCATCACAGCATCCTTTTTCTTTGACCACCGCTCTCCCGCATTGACACTTTGGAGGACGCGTCGTTCTAGATACACCATGGCATGGATCTTCTTTAGGCATTTCACATGGTGTACAGCAACAAATCTCACATGGGTCCTAGTGATAATTCTAATTTATATTTATTTTAAATTAAAAAATAAAATTTTTATATTTTTTATACCTGCATTTTTATTTGACAAAAATTACGCTCGCAAAGTCTCTTTAATTCACGCTGATAATCCCTCGCAAGTCTCTCCTGTATTATCATTTTCTCTATCGAACTTGGTGATGTCTGAGATTTATTGTCATTTCTCAGTTTTACCTGGATGACATTCAAATTGTATTTTTAATTTTTTAAATTTCTACGTCAATTTTTTTTTACCATTTTATTTGTTTAAAAAACTATTAAATATCTACTAAATTTATTTTTATTTTACCTGGTCATATTCATTAACACTCTTAAATTTATCAAAAAATTTTCCAATACTCATTTTTACTTTACTCCAAGACCATTTATCTTTATAACAATCAAGAATATCAGGTGGATTTTCTGAAACTAAAAATAAAGTAATTTACAAAAATATTTATGATATTAAGAAACATCTGATAATTTTTAGAATTTTAATAAATGAATTATAGAAAAAAAAAAAAAATGTATTTAAAAAATTCTATACAATTTAAAAATAAGCTCCAAAAATTTATAAATTAAATTTTTCTTACAATTTTTTAATATTCTTTAACAAAAAAATTTGTTCCATAAAATTTAATTGTTAAAATTTCCACATGTGAATTTTTTTTTAAATTTGTTTTTGTCATAATTTAATAGTTACAAAAATTCTAAAAATTATCAAATCTCTGCTAAATAAATTTTCATATTTAGACCTAGTTTATTTAAAAATAAAAATAAAAAAATTATCAAGTGTCTGCTAATTTTATTATCATAAATATTTACTTATAAATAAAAAAAAAAAAAATACTCACAATTATTAATTACTCTACTTACAGTAGAAGACTGACGTATGTTATCCATTGAATAAATTTGTTCATTTAATAACTGATAATTTAGATATTAATAATTTAGATCCTTTGTAAAAAAGTCAAAGTGCAATTAAAAATGTCCGACTGACAAATGAATATTTGTTTATGTGTTTATATCTACATAAATAAAAAAATATACTATATTTATTTGTTTATCTGTAAAGTGCCGCCAAATAAAACTGCTCCATCTAGCGTTTTCGAGATTAAAATTACTGATTCACATTTTCTCTTGACAGACATTCCAATAACTAATCAAAAAAAAAAAAAAAACAAAAAAAAACAAAAAAAACCATAAGATATAAATAATAATAATAATAAAAATAATAATTGTTATTATTATTATTATAACAATAATAACAGGTATAATATAGAGCCAATCTAATTATGAAACGAACAAAGTAAATTAGCATGAAATTCGAAATGCCTGAAATATAAGAATCATATAAAATCAATGAAATAATATTGAAAGATCTCATTGTGTCGTTTGTCCGAGTCGCGTCAGTGGATAGCTTATAAAAAGTGATATATTTTTAATTGCCACGTAATTTCATAACATGGTATTATAACATACGGATGATAATTAAGCTTGTATGTTATTGTATAAATATTTTATGATCTAATATCATAAAGATAACAAAAATGCCAAGTAAAAAAAAAAAATACAATGCCCGATTTCCAGCAGTAAGTTGTGCTATTTCTACACTCAAACATCTTAATTATTTATTTTTTAAATATTTTCATATGTTTACTAATTTATATTTATTTATTTTATCTTGACAATACTTTTGTCAACACTTTTAATAATTATTTTGTTTATTTATTTATTTATTGACAGTTGACCGCAACCTTAACCTCAATTCTTTATTTTTTTAGGGACGCATCAAGAAAATAATGCAAACTGATGAAGAAGTTGGAAAAGTTGCTCAAGCTGTACCAATTATAATTTATATCCTTTTTTAATATTTTTAATACTAGCTTATTTTTTCAGGAATTTTATTTGTTTGTTTTTCTATAACAGCCTTAACCATTTGTATACCTAGAACATTAGAACTCTTTGTACATTCATTGCTGACGAAGACAATGCAAATTACTAGTAATAAAAATGCCAAAACACTCAGTACATCTCATATGTAAGTTCATTTTTATTTTTTTCATTAATTTATTAGTCAGAAAAAAAAAATCTTGGAATTTTGGAGTATTGTAGGATGTTCTAGACTTTTTTTATGCATGACAATAATTTCTAAAAAATTTTTGATAGACATTTATCAGTTTTGTTTTGGAATTTATGATTAATTAATTTTTATAATTAATAAATTATTATAAAAAAAATTCCCAATTGTAATTTTTTATAAATTCTCCATGTAGAATTTTTTATTTATATTTTTATGACATTAAAGATAGCCGTCACTTGACAATTTTTAAATAAATTGTATTTAAAAAAAAAAAAATTCGCTCCAAAAAATTATTTTTAAAAAATTCATTTATTTGTTACAAAAATTTTTAAAATTATCAAATATCTGCTAAATTAATTTATGATACTAAAGATAGAAGACATTTAACAATTTTTGATTTTTTGAATCAATAAAAAGTATTTTTAAAAAATTGCACTGAGAACTATTCAAATTTTCTACATGTAAAATTTTTTTTTTTTTTATTTAATTAAATAATTTTTTCAATATAAAAAATTATAAATATTTTTAATTATCGGCTGATTTAATTTTCATGTTAATTTACATTAAATTTTTTCATTTTAATTTGTTATAAAAATCTAAAAAATGTTTAAATGTCTGCTAAATTCAGGATCATTATAATTTATAATAATTTAAAAATATTATTACAGGAAACAGTGTATTTTATCGGAGAGTCGTTTTGATTTTTTAAAAGATCTGGTCAAAAGTGTTCCTGACGTCTCTAATGCTGATGACGAAGTACAAAGTCCACCAATGACACCAGCACCCACAGGAATTAATTCTATCAATCCGCCATTAAATATAACGCGTGTTCACCCTGAAATACGGTAAAAAATTATAAATTTTATGACAATTAAATTAGCAGACTGACAATTTTTTTTATTAATAAAAAAATAAAAATTGCACACTAGAAGATTTGAAAAATTACAATTACAATTTTAAAAAAATATTTTTCTAGTTATAATTTTATTTAAAAAAACATTTTCAAATGTCTGCTGATCTCACTATCATTAAATTTTATTAAATATAGAAGATTAAAATAGATTTTATTAAATATAGATTTATTATTATTTTATTTATTAGATATAAATTTATTATTATCTTATTAATTAAATATAAATTAATAGATTTATTAAATATAGAAGATTAAAATAGATAAAGTAGATTATTAATGGGTGAATAATTTTTCTCAGAATCCCAAAGGAATTGACAATAACAAAAAAGTCAACAGAAGTCAATAATCATTCACAAGACTGCCTAGAAGCTATTAAAAGCAATATAAAATTAGAAGAGGCTGCACCCTCACCAAATCGAGTTCCTAATTTCCAAATTGCAATACCGTCGTCATTCAATGATGGTAAACCAAATTTTTATACTGAAGTAAACCCGTTGAATTTGTCTACGCAGCAGATTAAAGAAGAAAATTCATCACTAATCAACGTTAATAGTATTGATGAAGATTATGATACCTAAATAAATATAAAAAATTTTTTTTAATATATTAATTAAATTATCTTTGTATGTGTTTCAAAAAATTGTCTGTTTAGATGTTAAAAAATAATCGTCAGCACACCAATAAGATGATTTTTTTAAATTTTATTTTTGAACAAATATTTAAAGTCATTAAAATATTATCGTGACTATTTAAAGTATTACTGTGACTTTTTTTATTATCAAAATTATATAATATAAGTGACTGATTTTTATCAGTAATTATTTAAATAAATGTATTAATTTAATTTCGATTAAGCTTGCGTAGAAAAAAAAAATAACTAACATGTAGAGTAAAAATCACATTTGACATTTTTTTTAATTTTTCAATTTATTAATTATCGATAGATTTTTTTTTTTGTCTTTTTCTCTGTATTTATTTAACGTGTACATAATAAATAGTACAATATTTTTATTATGAGTACATTATCCAATGATATAATCATTGTTTTATTAATTAATTTTTATTTATCAATATAATTTATAAAAAGACAGATAATTATTTAACAAGAAAATTTGCTAATAATTATTGTTAAAAAATACTCCAATTAATTATTATTTAATTTTAATTTAATGATATATAAAAAATTGTTTTTAACAATGTCATACATTTTTATTACGTTATAAAATTTACAATTAATTATTAATATTATCATTAACGTATAAATATTTTATTTATTTTTTTTAACAATTTTTACTTCAATTAAATTTTTTTATTGTCTACGACTTAATTATTAATTAAGTACAGCACAGTGTTAGTGTGCTTGATTGATAAACCGAAAACAAATCTTACTGTACAGAGTATTTAAATTAAAAAAAAAAAAAAAATTCAATGACACAATACTATATATATAGTAATTCTATTGCCGTATAAATATTTTTCTTTAGTAGTACGTTAATTACAATTTGTTTTTAATGCAAACAAACAGAGCAATGTACAAAATGCTTATAATATATTGTTCGTTTTTGCAAATATATAAAATAAAAAAATAATAATTATTATAATTATTATTGCTACATAATAAAATTAATACATACAAAGTAATGTGATTATCAAATTAATGATTAACAGTATGCAGTTAAATTTACATAGCATTAAAAATAAAATCGTTTTAGATTTAATGGAAAAAAATTCGTGATGAAATGATTGATGACTCGAATGATTGCTGTGATGATTATGAAAAACAAGAGTAAGGTAAAAGATCCAGTTATTGACACTGGCCTAGTTGTTTGACACTTGAAATTTTATTCTAATTAAAAAAAATCAATTATCTTAAAATTTATAAATGCTCTATCTCTAGATACATAATTAAGAAATGACCTTGTATCTTGTGAAATATTGACATTTTTAAAGATATAAGCTCATCCTGATGTTACATTTATTAAGACTTTTCATTTGAATACCCACATCAATTTTTCATATATTTATATATATGTATATATGAAAAATATATCAAAAATGCATGTGGATACTCAAATGAAAGCTCTTGATGAGTGTAACATCAGGATGAGCTTATATCTTAAAAAATGTCAATATTTCAGAAAGTACAGTGCAATCTAACAAAATTCACTATTTTGCTCACAAGTCACGGCAGTCACATAGTGACTGGAAGGTTGCTAGTATTTAATAATTTATTAGAGTTGATATTTTTTTTTAACTGTCAATAACTAGGCCAGTGTCAATAACTGGGCCTTTTACCTCACGATAATCGAAAATTTTAAATATTCGCACATAGTAAAAAATAATTATAGAAAAAAAAAAAAAAAAAAAACATTATTAATAATTAATAATTAATTCAGACGTAATACTGTGATAAGTTCAATTGTCTATACCGTCGTAACGAGACTCGCATTTTCCTAATAAATGTAATACAGGAGCAATATTATAAGGGAATAACGATTTAGACACAAGTCTATTAATAGATATTCGTAGTCTTATAAGAACTGTCATGGTATCATCCAAGTCTCTACCACAACATGACACGAATTCATGCCAATTACGCTTGATATACTTAAGAAACCTAAGTAAATAGAGTAAAAAGCAAGTTTCGTTGCTAACAAGATAATCCAAGAGCACTTCGTGGTCGTGAGAAACAGCTTTAATAAATTGCACAAAGGTCAGCGTAGGACTGAGCATTTGCGCGAGTTCATTCTGCGGAGGCCCGCGGTAGAACAGTCCAACAGCAACGTCTAGACAACAAACCATCCCTTCAATCAGTGAATCATCCTGATCATGAAATAATTGAACAACCCACTGCGAGAGCGGCATCACGGGATGAAAAGGCATAAGATTCTTGACGCACTGATCCAGCTGCCTCAAAACCTCTCGGATGCTCCGTTCTATCACCGCCATGTCCGCATCTAAATCCTCAGCCTCGGATCCTAACGAAGAATCACTAGTGTCGCTCCGGGTCTCCTTGACAGTCACCGCGACGCTCTTCAGGACCAGCAACACCAGCTTCTGCAGCAGCGGTCTGTCTCCGTCGCCCGAGCCGCCACCAAATCTCCCGGAGCCGTGTCTATAAGGCAACCCATCAAGGAGCCTCCAGTCTTTAACAGCCCTCACCACAACGTGGGCCAAGGAGCAAGGTTCCTCCGGAAGGTTGTCCTGGAGCGAGAGGGTGCTTCCGTAGCACAGGACCTCGTTGAAGAGTCCCAACAAGTGCCTCCAGATTATTCCCGGGACGTTGTTGTTCAGCAGCACCACCAGGCTGTCCAGCTGCGAGTAGAAGAGTTTGGTGTCGATCACCGACAGGTTGGCCTTCACCGAGATGATCGACTCCCACAAATCTAAGAAAGTTATCACCGCTGACTCGTGCTGCGGAGTATAAGACCCGAGTATCGCGTCGAATTTATTAACCAGCACCGACCATTTAGACTCCAGGGCTTTGACACACATCGCCTTCACCGGAGTGCTGTCCAGCCCTTCTGACTCGGACACGTCCAGGTAATCGCAGTTAGGAGGCGAATACTGACTCTCAGAGTCATCTCCAGGAGTCACTCCGTAGTCTTTATGCTCCACAACTCGCTTGATGATGTCCAGTGTGAACAACATCTGGCTGGGCGAGCTGGTGTTCACCAGCGAGTGGGTCAGTCTCTCTAACCACCTTTCCTCCGTGTTCTTGGTGATGATAAAAAAGGAGGCCAGAGCGCGGCTCGCTGTGAAAGACACAAATTTGTTGGACGTGCAGGATAAGTCTATCAGCTGGTCGATGATCCCGTACTCGTTCCTCGTTAAAGCTTCACAGACGTTCACCACCCTACGACACATTCTCCGGCGCTTGTTCTGCTTTATCGCGAGCTCGAAAAGCAACTGCAGCCCGCTTATGTACTCCAAAGTTCTCTCCGGGTCCCACTCGGACAATACACCACCCCGACCAGACCGAGAGGAATTTACGAACGGCTTACGGAGGCTGCTCTCCGGGATCCCGCACAAACACTGCTCCAACAGGCTCTTCTGGAACCTCTCCATGTCGGTGATAAGCTCCTCGTTGTCGTCATCGTAGTCCTCGCTGACTATCCTCTGCTTCTTCTTTGCTGGCTCCTCCATTTTGGAGCTTACTGCAGAATTATTGCAACCTAAAATTAAAGAAGAGATTAGCTTCATAGCTTGGTTCTTTTTTTTTTTCATTAATTAAATTAGAACAAAAAAATATTTTTTAAAAATTGCACTTACAGTTTTTCAAGTTTTTTACAAGTGACATTTTTTAAAAATTTTTTTTTGTACCAATTTTTGTAATAAAAAAATTTTTTTAATTTTCACAAAAAAATTTATTGCTTATTGATGGCCTTGAGGGAGCTTCGACTCTAAGGACAAATAAATATATATCTAACTAACTAACTAACCTCAGGTTATTCTTGACACATACATGACGGGACTGCGCTGCTCGGGTTGGACTCAACGCCGAGGAATCTTCGTTCATCATCGGGCTATCACTCTAAGGAAGAAAAAGTAAGTTTGTTTTTATTTTTTTTTTTATGGTGGAATTTAGTTGGAAAAAATTAAAATAAAAAAAAAAAAAATGCACTTACTCAGTGACACTGGTACTTGATAAATAAAACATAATACTGGTTTTAACTTTGCCGCTTTGTTAAACTGTTGCTTCTGACACGATGAAGCATGCGCAAGTATAACCCCTCGATTGTTTTCAATGAATATTTATTAACAGGATTTTTTTATTATCATAATAAAGGTTAATTTGAATATTTTATAAATAAACAAACCAACTAGGTTTAAAGGCTCCAAGCCTGATAATAATAAAAATATTTAGACTTACTTATTGAGTATACACTTTTGTTTGTTGAAAATTAATAACGAGTATTCCTTTTAAAAAGCAACGGATTTAATTTATTGAGACAGTTAAATTGTTTTAACTGATGGTTTAAAACGTAAATATTATTTGTTTATATGCATATTTTATTGTATTATATTGTATGTAATAAACGAAGGAATTTTCTTATGACTAGGATGAGGCGTACTGTTGAGCACCAAACGGGAAAAGATTGCTGCGTTGCCAAGTGTAGACATTGCTATGGAGAAAATGACAATACTTTATTTAAAATACACATTTAACTATTTGTCGTACACGGGAATAATAAATACATAATGGTAGTAATTATTACAAATATTTTTTTTGTCTATTTCAATTATTGATTCCATTTTATTGGTAATCATAAGGACGGCATCACACGGAGCTGCGTAACACAGTAGCTGTCACTTGAACATTCCACTTATCACTAATGTTAATAACTTTAATCAGATAATTAATTGATTTTTTATTATTTTTACTGGTTGTTATTATTCACTTAAGGACCAAGCATGTCATTTTTTTTAATAACTTTTGTCTATTATTAAAAATTTTAGAATAAATTAACAGTACTCTTGGCAACGTCGCAATTACAGTAGCACATATTTGTTAGTTGTATGTTTTTTATATATATGTATATATGCTTTTTGAGAGATACTTTGTTCGTTTCCGGTTATTTGACATTTCATATTTTTATATAGATGGCGGTAGCATTCAAATATATCGCGGTTTTATATTTCACACGGCATTTATATATCAGTATGTGTAAATAAACAATTGTTTTTTTTTTTGTTTTTTAAATTAATTTATTTAAATAGTATTGTTGTTTTTTCAAAATTATTTTTCTATTTTTGTGACAATTATTTATAACAGTTTCTAAAATGTCAGGATGATAAATTACACTGTGGGAATTATTATTTGTTGATATAACCTAGTTTGACATTAAAATTTTGTTTGTAATATAATTAATCACCATGAAGTAAGTTAATTTTTTTTATTAAGAATTTTTTAAGTTTTTTTATTTATTATTATTATTTTTTACAGGATCAGTGTTGACGGTTTAATTGTTTACTTTCCGTATGATTACATTTATCCGGAGCAGTATGCCTACATGCTGGAGCTCAAAAGAGGCTTGGATGCAAGAGTAATTTTTTTAATTAAATAATTTGAAAATTTATTTAGCAGATATTTTAATTAAAATTAATTCAGCAGATGTTTAATAATTTTTAGAATTTTTTTAACAAATAAATTATGGCAAAAAAAAAAAATTAACATGTAGAAATTTAAAAAAATTATAAATGCAATTTTTTTAAAATTATTTTTTTGTTAAAAAAAATTTTTAAATTATCAAGTGACTGTTAACATTAATGTATTTTAAATAATTTTTTAATTAATTATTTTGTAAGATAAAATTAAAGATAATATGTGATTAATAATAATTTTTATTTAAAGGGCCACTGTTTACTGGAAATGCCTTCGGGTACTGGAAAGACAGTCACTTTATTGGCACTTATCGTCGCTTACATGCTGGAAAACCCGTCATCTGTCACAAAATTAATTTATTGCTCACGTACAGTGCCTGAAATTGAAAAAGTTATTGAAGAATTAAAAAAACTTATGGATTATTATGAAAAAGAGACGGGAAGTCCGCCTAGGATGGTTGGTCTTGTACTCAGTTCAAGAAAAAATATGTGTATACATCCAGAAGTATGACTTTTGAATAATTAATTAGTTATTGACATTGACAATTGTATATTTATTTATTTAATTTTCCTAGGTCAGTAAAGAGCGAGATGGAAAGATTGTTGACGGTCGTTGTCACTCGTTGACAGCTTCGTATGTCAGAGCTCGACATAACTATGATGACACCACACCGATTTGTAGTTATTACGAAGGGTTTGACGAAGAGGGACGTGAGCGAGTTATGCCACCGGGTATTTATTCCATTGATGACATTAAAGATTATGGGAGAGATAGGAATTGGTGTCCGTATTTCCTCGCTAGATTAGCTGTAGGTATTTTCAAAACTAAAAAAAAAAAATATGTACATTTATTAATATAAATAATTTATTACACAGATAGTACAAGCACAATTTGTTGTGTACAGTTATCACTATTTACTGGATCCAAAGATTGCTCAGACGGTTTCCAAAGAGCTTGCCAAAAATTCAGTTGTTGTTTTCGATGAAGCTCACAATATAGGTACTGGATATTTTATTTAATTATTTATTTATTTTTAAAAATAATTCTCGTATAATTTTTAGATAATGTTTGTATCGATTCAATGAGTGTAAAAATTACCAGAAAGACCATGGAAAAATGTACAGCAAATATTCAGTTATTAGAAAAAACAGTCTCTGAGTAAGTTTACTTTTTTTTATTTAATTTTATTTTTATGATACTGAATAAATTAATAGACATTTAAAACAGACATTTTTTATAAAAATTAAAATATAAATATAAATAAAATAAATATTAAATATTTGTGTTTTTACAATTAAATTTATTTAATTAAAAAAAAAAATAGAATGCGAGCTGAAGATGCTAATAAATTAAAAGAAGAATATCAGAGACTAGTAGAAGGTCTAAAAGACGCGCAAGTGTCCAGAGAAACGGATGTTGTACTAGCCAATCCAGTTTTGCCTGATGAAATTTTGGAAGGTAAAATATTATTAATTTAAAAATAAAAAAATATTAATTTAACAATGAATTTAGTCTGATATTAATAAAAATTTATCAGAGGTAATTCCTGGAAATATAAGAAATGCCGAGCATTTCGTCAGCTTCCTAAAACGTTTCGTTGAGTATCTAAAAACGAGATTGCGAGTCCAGCATGTGGTTCAAGAAACACCGGCTTTATTTCTCCGAGATCTGCAGACGAAAGTCTGCATAGAACGAAAGCCGCTTAAATTTTGCGCAGAAAGACTCGCATCGCTTTTGAGAACGATGGAGATAACAGATCTAACTGATTTCTCGGCGCTGATTCTTGTGACCCACCTCGCTACTCTGGTTTCCACATACGCGACAGGGTTCACAATAATCGTCGAGCCTTTTGACGACAGAACGCCCACTGTTTTGAATCCAATCCTTCATTTTAGTTGCATGGACTCTTCTATTGCGATGAAGCCAATTTTTGATCGATTTCAGTCGGTGATTATTACATCTGGTACTCTGTCGCCTTTAGATATGTACCCGAAGATATTAAATTTCCATCCTGTCATTATGACTTCTTTCACGATGACCTTGGCAAGGCCTTGCTTATTACCCATGGTAAATATTTTATTATTTATTTTATCATACTAAAATCAGAAGACTTTATAATTTTTTTTAATAAAAATTTATTGAAAAAAATTTTTTAGAAGCTCTAAAAAATTATAAATACAATTTTTAAATAATTTTCTAAAGCTAATTTATTTTCAAAAAAAAATTGTCAAGTGTTTGTAAATTTTTAATGTCTTTTTATTTTTAATTTTTATAATTTTTTAAATAATGATTTTAACCAATTATAGATAGTATCAAAAGGTAATGACCAAGTAGCAATTTCTTCCAAGTATGAAACGAGAGATGACGTTGCCGTGATAAGAAATTACGGGCAATTGCTCGTTGAATTTGCAGCGATAGTACCTGATGGACTAGTTTGTTTTTTTACTTCTTACTTATATATGGAATCAGTCATCGCAGCTTGGTAAATTTATTTCTCTTACTCAATAATTTTTGTTGATTAAAAATGAAATTAATATAATTGATATAATTTAAAATTATTATAAATTAATATAATTTAAACTTAAAGGTATGATCAAGGAGTCGTTGATCAACTACAGAGACACAAACTCCTTTTTATCGAGACTCAAGACTCGGCAGAAACGAGTTTAGCTCTTGTTAACTACATAAAGGCTTGTGATAGTGGTAGAGGAGCGGTTTTGCTATCAGTAGCAAGAGGAAAAGTGTCTGAAGGAGTAGATTTTGATCATCATTTAGGAAGAGCTGTACTTATGTTTGGAATTCCCTATGTTTATACTCAATCTCGTATACTGAAAGCTCGGTTGGATTACTTGAGAGACCAATTTCAGGTAAGAAAATTTTTTTTTAAATTCCTGATGATCTCAGCTGTGTTAATTATTATTTTTATTTATTTATTAGATAAGAGAAAATGATTTCTTGACGTTCGATGCAATGAGACATGCTGCTCAGTGTATTGGTCGTGTGTTGAGAGGAAAAACTGACTACGGTATTATGATTTTCGCTGACAAGGTACTTTCAAAAATTTTTTTTTTTTTTTTATAAAAATTAAAAAGAAAATTAGAAAAACGGTTCACCCTAAGGGCCATCCCTGCAGCTTCCCGCCAATTCTATACCTAAACGCTTGAAATTGCACTTATGACGTTTTAGAGCTCTTCGAGCTCATAAATACAATTTGTGTATTATTTTGAGCTCTCCGAGCTCAAAAAAATAGCTTTTTTTACGCTTTTGAGCACGCGGTTGGCGGCATTCGACGCAGTTTTATCATCCTCATAAGTTATTTTCAGGTTTTCATTGATCGAACCAAAAATTTCGGAGTAATCCCGAAAAAACACTTTTTTTGGTTTTCTTTCGTTCATGATATCTCTCGAACGAATCAACCGATTTTGACCGGATTGGCGGCGATCGGCGTGGTTTTTCAAGCCTAAGGGCGGATTAGTTTTTGAAGTTGATCGATAGAGCCGTTTAAAAGATATTCCAAAAAAACCACTTTAAAAAATGATTTTTTTTAAGATTTTTCAAGATTTCTTAAAATCTATCGGTCCGAATCGGTTCAAATTTTCAGGAAATCTAAGTTCGAGGGAACTCTTTAGAACGCCGTTTAGTTCGTTCCGATCGGTTCAACCGTTCAAAAGTTATAAACGATTCACATACTTACACACACACACACACACACATACAGACATAGTGACAACATCGCGGGGGTAGTCAGGGAAGCTTCCTGTGACCTTCAAACGTCGAGATCTGATGAAAACTCGATTTTTGCAAAACGGGGTAAAAAACAATAACTTCCCGATTTTTGAAAATCTGAGATTTTTAGCGGGAAGTTAAAAATATTTAAAAATTTTTTTTTTTTGAATTTTTAGCGATTTTCTAGAGCGGATAAACGGAGCAAAATACCCAAATGGATTCAAGAACATTTATCTGATAGTTTGTGTAATTTATCTACAGAAGAAGCAGTCCAGGTATTTTTTTTTTTTTAATTTTTGAAATATTTAATAACTTTATTTAATTTATATTCTTCAATTTTTGAAGATTTCTAAAAAGTGGTTGAGACAAATGGCCCAACCATTCTCACGAGAAGACCAACTAGGTTTATCCTTACTAACAAAAGAACAAGTTGAGAAAAAAGAAGCCAAGAAAAAAGAAGAAGAAGAAGCTCGAAAATTAGAAATGGAGATAGAAATGGAAGATGACATCGAATAATTTTGGTATTAATTTTTTTATAATAAAAAAAAAAATTAAAAATCTTCGTTCTGTACAAAAAAAGTTTTTTTAATAACAAAATATCAATGATTAAATTACAAGAATGTTTAAAATATTAAATAAACTGTAAGTTTTTACCTATTTTATTTTTTATAAATAATTTTCAGTGTCACCAGTGAACAATTATTTTATCACCGTCTTGAATGGAATAGTAGCTTAACTCTTGCAGAAATTTATCAAGGGGAATTTCATCGTTTGGTCTCTGTACATAAATATGTATTTATTTAGTCAAAAGTACTGATAAAATTTTGAAAATTTTTTTCTGTACTTACATTTGATGGAATAAGCAAAAGCGTCGGTATTTTACCACTTATTTTAAATATTCTTTGAACTAAGCCCATTACTTTTTGTACATTCATATCTTTCATAATTTTTCTCTTGACATTTTGAACTTTTGACTCCACGTTGCTGCTAACAAACTCAACTGTTATCACATCTGACTTCATTTCGGTACTAAACTTCGTACTGCTGGGAAATTCAGTAATTCCACACTCTAAAAAAAAAATTCAATTAAAAAAACAAATTAAATTAATAAAAAAATAATAAATTATTTATATTCCTACTTTTAATTAAAGATAAATATCTCGGGTGATTTTCTATAAATTCTTTCTTCTGACATTCATCACTATCAGCAATGTTTTTCCATTCTTCATCGAATGTCTTTAAGTAAACATATTCAGCTCCATTTCTTTCTTCTCGAATTATTTCTTCTCCATTCAACAATTTTAATTTTGAAATTCTTGCTATTATTAAATCACGAGTTGTAGTGAGCTTTTCATTATCAAACACAGGATTGTCACGCAGCTTCAAGTCTTCAAGATTATTCAGCTTTTCTAATTCGCTAATAGATCGCCACTAAAAGTTTCAATAAATAAATAAAAATATTCATTAAAATAGCTTTATAAAAAATTACCTCAGTGATACAATTCTTCGACAAGTGTAATTGCCGTAGCTTAGGGAACGATTTAGTCTTCTCTTCACCATCATCACAAAAGAATTTTACTCGCTCGATTTTATTAGAGTTTAAATTCAAATTTTCCAAACTAAAAAATCCATTTTTTATTAATTAAATTATTTTACAATAAAGTAATGAGAATGATAAATAAATAAAAATCTTACCTCAATAAATTACCCAACTTCAAAACTTCGTCCCAGTCACTCAAATTATTCCCCTCTAGCGACAAATCAACCAGTTGAGTGAGGCTAGAATTTTCCAAAGGCTCTCTGAGCACCCTAGCACTATTAAAAGGTACATAAAGAACTCTAAGCGCAGGAAACAATGAAGAACACCACTCGATGTCCGACCAGTCGTAATTCATTCGTGTCATCACCAATTGATTAACATTAGCAAACGCATTTAAATCCACATCAATCTTGGTAGGTAATAAATTTTCACTAAAACAAAATTAAAGTAAGATAAAATAATAAATAAATAAAATAATAAATGAATTACCTAACGTCAAGACGTTCAAGCTTCTTTAATTGTATACAAATATCAGCCACAATCCTCCAGGAATTTATTAAATTTTTTGATATATCTAATTCACGCACATTGGGACAAAGCTCTAGAAGTTCTCCAGGAACTCCAGCACTAGACACTAATTGATCTCTTAACCAAACAACTTTTAATTGATCAAATGCACTTTGCTTCTTGTTAACTTTGGAGAATCCTACCATTTCCAGAAACGGAGCATGGATTTCTCTTTTTAAGATGAACAGTTTATCACGATCTACACCTGCTAGCTCATCGTCGACGAGCCCATAGCGCTGTCGAATGGCATCTAGACAAGATATTCCTGTCTTTACCTTACCGGGTCGTACAAAGGACCCAGATGTTGGTAATCTAAAATAATTATATTATTATTATCATTAATAATTAATCAGTAATTAATATGAAAATTAATTTAGCAGATATTTGATCATTTTCTTTAACAAATAAAATTGACATTAAAATTTTAAATGCAATTATTTTTAAATAATTTCAAACAAATTTTTATGTTGAAAAAAAAAAAATAAAAAATGATGGCTGCTGACTTAAAAGTAATGTAATTAATTAAATAGACAAATGATGTAAAAATTGAAAAAAAAAAAAAAAATTTAAATGCAATTTTTAAAAAATAATTTTTTTAAACAAATTTGTTAAAAAAAAAAAAAAAAATTGTGACTGCTAACTTTAAAGTCATGTAATTAATTAAATACACATATAATGTCCTACATGGTCTTAAAATATTCAACGTCATGATAAGTGCCATTGTGCTTCCCACGTGCCGGATCATCCCAATCAATTCCTAACCACAAACCATTGGTATCAATAACCGGGCCAATGTAACAAACAGTTCCTGGATGACCATCACAGTCAATACGATCTCCAATTTTATGACAATCACTGACAGTTCCAACGCTTTCTACCATCCTGTCAAAAATCGGACGATGAGTCGCTTCAATTCAGCGACACACCAGAACTTCCTCGTCGAGCTGTCACTTTGCCTTCGGGTCTCTTCAATTTCAGAAACTCTTGTGTTGTAATTTATTTATCTACTAGGTTAAAAAAATATAAATCGATATTTCAGTGAAAAATATTATTCAGTAAAGTTTTATATTTTGTTAATTAAATTTTAAGCCAAGAAAAAAACGCTAACAAACACGGGTCGTGTTCGTTGGCGTTTTTTTGGCGCATGCGCCGTAAAATTTGATACTGCGCATGTAAAAATTTAATTTAAAAAAATTTTAATTAAAAATAATAAAAGCTAAACATTAATACATAGCCTAAATTGTCAAAGATTATTAATTAATAGCGTGGAACCTGTTTGATAAATTTAATTAGTTTACTTGTGGAAAATAGTAATATGAATCAGATTGAAAACTTAATGGAGGGAATAATTGGAGTACTACATTATAAATTATGTGTGTATATATAAATTCATAAATCTTGTAAATATTACACGGAAAAAAGTAAACTGTATTAATAAATAACAGTCGATTTATAATAAGTAATGATCAACTGCTAAAAACTACCATTTCAAACAGTAAAATCGTGATTTTACTATTTATTTTATAATATTTACGATTTAAACGTTACAATTTATTACTCTTTACATATGGAAGAAAATACTATTTCAAACAGTAATATTCGCTATGTAAATGTCTAAAATGTTAAATTAAAGTATAATAATTAAGAATTCAGACTTTGATATTTATCATTTGGTACCTAAAAAATGATCTTATATATGATATATGTAAAAAGTATAAAATAAAGTTAGTAACGTCAATATTTACAAAGTAAAATGGTAAATTTTAAACGCAACGCTAATAAAAATCAAACTGTAATTATTGACTTGCTTGGACTGGTAAAATGTATATATTTTAAAAGTATAATTTTTACTAATTTAAATGTTAAATTCTCCCAGAGTGGGACCCCCTTTCTGCGCTCTTTCATCTGAGTTCCCCTTCTCCTCATAATATGGACTTTATATTGAAATGGCAATTTTTACTGTTTGAAACTGTAATTTTTTTTCTACATTAAATTCTGTAATATTTATATTTTTGCCACCCCGATGTCGGCTTTACTGTTTGAAACTATAAAAACTAACCAGAATCCGAGTGAATATTACAGTTTACAAGTGAATAATAATTTTTAATTTTGCTATAACTCAAAAGGACTGGTTATTCATTGATTCTTCGTCCGATGAAAGCACTAAGTACTGATTCAGAATTTTCTGATTAAGACTCTGGGTGCATTCGCGTTGGACGCTCACACGCTTTGAGCGCTCACGCTTATAAGCACAAATTATTGGCGTTCGTGTAGACTTACGAACGCATAGAATCAATCAGAAAATATCGTTTAGTTCGTTTTGGACGTTGTGAGCGTTAGTTTGTATCAAAATGGCGAATGTGGGAAATTTTTATCAAATAGTAAATAATTTATTGGAAATAATCAACGATGATTTTGATATAGTGATGAATATGATATGATTGAAGACAGTGATGATGAAATATTGTGATATTCACTTAAATTTATCTTTCAAAAAAGAACCCATACCAAGGCTCCAAAATTTTGTTGAAGATGTTGAAGAGGTTATTCCAGCTTTTACTGATAAAGAATTTAAATCTCACTTTAGGTAATTAATAAAATTTCAAATTTAATTTTTTAAAAATGTCAGATTTTGTTTACTAATTTAAATTTATGGATTAAATTATAAACAAATAAATGTTTTAATAATTCTATTTGATCAAGTGGTCAAGGCTTTTAAACAATATTGATTAAAAAGTATACTGGTGGCTACGATACCTGCGAGCTCGGGGAGGTGGCCAGCTCTCTTGTAGCTCCCCACTTGATGATGCATTGGAATCCATTGGAGGATAATACCTACTTGATCGAATCAATCCAAGATTGGAATAATTTACTTGATTCGGTAGAAATTAGTAACTCCAAAAAAATTTTTAATAATATCATTTGAATTGATCTCGAAACTAATTTATATTTGTGTCAAAATATGAGTTTCAATCTTAAGTTCATTTTGAATTAGAATTTTTTTGCACGGGAGGGGTTAAAAGTGCCACTAATGGGGTCTTTTACCTTATTCTTAGTTTTTTTTATAAATTTTTTCGTTTGTTAACGTGATATTTTTTACATAATTAAAAAAAATATGATATACAAGATATTAACGGTTTTAATGACAATTAATATGTAAAAAGACTGATTAATATATTAATAAAATGTAAAGCTAGAGATTTAATAATAAAAAGCAATGTTCTTTTTTTTATATACAAATAATTTATTTTTTGACAATGCATTTTGGAATTATGATATATGTACAAAAACATGTATGATTAACATTCAAAATTTAGATAATAATTTAAATAATTGAGAAAATAAGTTTTAATTTTTCTAAATTTCTAAATCTCAATTTTTTTTTTTTCAAAAAAATTTATTCTGAAAAATTATTTTAAAAAAAATAAGCGGATTAAAGAATTAGTACTAATTATAATTTAAATCAATGTTAATATATGTTAATTAACTAAAAAAATTATAATTTTAATTAAAAATTGATAAATTTTTTTTATTCTGCTCCAAGATACAATATAAATTAATTTAATCTTTTAATTAGGAATTTATTTTTTTATACTAGAAAATACATAATTTTTTTTTTTTTAAGATTGCTTTTAAATAACACAATATATTTAATTAATTTTAGTCATTATTCCACATGGGCATTGATATTAATGGTAGCCAGCCGCGTCCTGATACTGCAAAAATGTTAATAATAAATATCTTTATACATTTAATTATTCTAATTAGAGCAATTATAATTAATTGTACCTCCGGCTACTTGATTTAATTGGTGAGTTTCTTCAGGGCTGAGCTTAAGTATTGTATTGAGTACTGGAATGAGTCTACTTCTTTCATCTCCGTTCTTCAAAGTGATAAACTGTAATATATTAATAAAATTAATAAAATTTATTAAAAAATATCTATAAAATTACTACTATTATTACTTTCATTTTTGTTTATATTACTTTAATAATTATTACTGTTCAATAAAATTAAGAGTTATATATTTTTAATAACTATTATAAAACATTTTACTTATTAATATGTGGTCACAGCAAAAGCTACATGATAAATTTAATTAAATAAATAAATTAATTAATAAATATTAAAAAAATAGTGAAGAAAAATTACTTTAATAACAATATTCTTCAAATATTCAAAATTATTAGCATGACTCTCTCTCTCAACACTGCGCTGCTGCCTCCGGATGTCTTCCTTCAACAACTGATTCATCTGATTTAACTTAGCAACGTCTCTTTCAGCGTCTGCGAGGAGAGCAGTCAGATGTTTGACTCTCCGCTCCGAAATTTCCAGCTCCTGACGGTCGACTTTAACTGGCAAATCCGGGACGGATTTTACATAATCATCAGAAGAGTTCAGTAGCTCGTCGAGAGGCATCAGCGTCCGTTGATTTCGCTCCGAGCTGGAGTTCCCTACTTGATAAGAGTCCACACTCTCTGATCCCTAAATTTACACCAACTTACTTAACACAATTCCTTTTATTTAAATTATTAATTATAATTTAACTAACCTCAGCGTCTTCTCGTTCAAGTAAATAAATATCATTGCGTGTTTGATAATCATGCTCAAATTTATCCGGCTTATCATTCTTGTTGATTGACGGAGTAACTGATAGTCGTTGAATTTCTGCTTTCAGGCTATCTATTTCCTGTTGATATTGCGTCTCTAAAGACTTAAGTTCAGCCTAGTTACAATTAAAAATACATTATTAAATTATTGAACTTATTTAATAAATAAATTAATGTCTTTAAATTATCTTACGGAATGTGTAGTTTTTAGCGTTTCTTGAATGTTATCCATTTCTTCTTTTAATTGGTCGATAGTAGTCAACTGCATTCGGCATTTTTCTTTTAAACTTAAATAATCTTGACTTAATAGTGACAATTTTTTACCGAGATCGCGATTACTTTCTCTTATACAATCACGTTCTTCTTTAATCGCCGTTAAATCGTTTGTTAAAGATTTTATCTCTTCACTAAAATAAAAAATAAAAACAAATTTCTTACAAAAAAAATTTTTTCAATAAAATTTCTAAAAATAATATTATTATTAGTAAAAGAAAATATAGTGACAGTAAAGTTAGCAGACAAATCATTTTTTTAATTTATTTAATAAATTAATTTCTTCCGAAATTTTTTTTTTTTTTTAATTGCATTTTTAATTTTTTTAAATTTTTAAATATCAATTACTTTTTTTTTGCTATAATTTATTACAAAAATTCTAAAAATAATCAAACTGCTAAATTAATTTTCATAAAAAAAAAAAATCAAATAAATGTTTTACATAAGATTAATTTCTAAAAAGCAAAAATTAAAAGCTTTAATTTAAAAATTATAATTAATGATATTAATACAGATAAAAATATTATTAAAAAGAAAAATTATTACAATAAATGTGAATTAAATAAAAAAAAAAAAATACCTGCTAATATCTAATTTCTCTTGAAGATGAGTTGAATAACCACGTAAATGATTCAATTCAGCTTCTATTTCATTAATACTTTTACCATTCAGCCCATTCTCTTTATTTTGACTCTGTTTTGTCCTCAAAACACTTTGAGCTCTCACTTTGTACCCTTCATACTCTGCTTTCAGCGCTTCCAACTCTCCATTAGTGCTACTGACAATATCATTCAGCCTGGTAATTTCTAGTTTCAAAAGTTCAACCTAAAAAATTACCAAATAAAACCTAGCATAAAAAACAAGTCCTGAAATAAAAGATAAATTACTTGTTGAGCATGATTTTTATTCAACAAATCCATTTCTTCGGCAATTTTATTTTTCTCAGCAGCATGAGCCGCTGATTCCTTGGTGAGTTTGCTCATATTTGCTTTGATCCCCTCAATAGAATCCAGCAGACTTTGTTTTTCTTTGACCACCGAGGCCATTTCTTGCTTGAGGTCATTCAAATCTGCCTTTAGCCCCTCGTTCTTGTTCCCCAAAGTGGTCAGTTGGTTCGTCTTAGCAAAGCACGAGTCTCTAAGCTCAGTTATCTGGTGCTCCAAGGTTATTATCGTCTGGTTCTGCTCTTCAATCGTGCTCTCAAGACTCAAACACCTCGACGCTTCATCTGCCAGCTTGGATTTCAAGTCTTCAATACTTTTCTGAAACAAAATAAATAAATAATTAATTAGTTATAATACAATCATCAACCTCCAGCTTAATTATAAAATATACCTCGTAATTATCGACTTCCAAAAATAAAACATTGTTACTGCTGCATTCCTGCTTAGCGCTCTCCAATCTAGCCTTAGTATTTTTATGAGCCTGGATCTCTGCCTCTAGTTTAACTTTGATCTCTTCGTAATCTTTTTCCCTCTGCTGACAAATCACGGTCTTGGCTTTCTTCTCTTCCTCCAACAGAAGTATCAAGCCTACATTCTTCTTTATTACACTCCGCACTTCTGCGAGATCCTTGACATTGTTGTCTAAATCACTAATTAAAGTACTTATGCGCTCTCGGTATTCGTAATTTGATTCTTTTAGTTTAGTGTTATCTATTACAAGTGTTTCTAAATTTTTTGTCAGCTTTTTGTTTTCATTTTTTTCCTGCTCCAAACAATCTTGAAGCTTGTCGTATTCCAGCTGAATAGTCTAGAATATAAAAATACAATAAAATTATATTGAAATTGACATCTGTTATTTTTTTTTAATTTTTTTAACTAATTTATTATTAAAGAAATTTAAAAAAATTGTTAAGAAAAATTATTTTTTAAAAATTGTATTTTTAGTTTATTAAAATTATCAAAAATCTGTTTAAATAATGTCAACAAAAAATTGACAAGTGCAAATTTCATTTAAATAAATAAATATATTTATTTAAAATAAAAAAACCTGTTCAACATACCTGTAATTTTTTAACATTATCAGAAACCAATGAAATTTTTTTCTGAAATTCTTCTTTCTCAGCAATAACTTTTATTTTATCATTTTCAACAACTTTTAATTCTTCTGTCAAATCTTGTACTTTTTTTTTTAATTTAACAGCAAATCCCCTCAACTAAAACACCAAATAAATAAATATTCAATCCTAAATAATATTAAAAAATTAACAATAATATTTACTTTATTATAACGCTCTTCATAATCTTCTTTTTGCTCCGTTTTAACCGTATCTTGTTCATTGCTGACAGACTCTGTCATCTGAATAAAAAACAGTAAATAAATAAAACAATACTATATAATAATAATTATCTAAAAAATCTAATTAAAATACCTTATTATTATCCGTTTCATTTTCAACCTTCTCCATTTTACTATATACTTAACCTCCGAGTGTTGTCAGTTAAAATTCCACATTATAATCAATTAAATTATCATAACAATTATCCTTATCATTATCACAACTAATCTGAAAAAATAAAAATATATGATTTAAATAGTACAACGTAATATAACCTATGAGCAGGTCTACGCGTAGATCAGCTGATCAACTGCTGTCAGTTAAAAAATTCAGGTTATAAGTGGTACAAAATAAAATATAAATTTATCTTACCGATCGGTAATGTGAAAGTACTGTGTCGATTGTTAATAAACAGTAAATTTGTACTCAACAATAAGCTTGTCATTGAGTACAAGTTTTATAAACAATTGAAAAATGATTTTGCTCAAAACTTCCACGAATTTCAATATTATCAAGGTAATTTATTTATTTTTTAATTATAAGTATATATAATAATTATATTTAATTATTTTTAGACTCATGGAACAATCAAGAGATTCAAGCCTGTGATTTATACAATAACTAATCGATCAAAGTAAGTTTTTTTTTTTTTATCTTTAAAATTAATGATACTGAAATTAAAAAACATCTGATAATTTTTAAAATGTTTTTAATAAATAAATTATAGCAAGAAAAACTTATTTTAAAAATTGCACCTTTAAAAGCTCTAAAAAATTATAAATGCAATTTTTTAAAAATAATTTTCTAAACCTAGTTTATTTGTTTTTCTTTTTTTAAATAAAAAATTGTCAAGTGTGCTAATTTCAATGTCATTAAAATAAATAAAAATTCATACTATTAAAATTAGCCGACATTTTTTATTTTAATTTGTTTTTTTTTTTTTTTTTTTTAAATCAGAACTTAAAAATATTTTTAAAAAAATTACACTTGTATTTTTTTACAAGTGAAATTTTTTTTTAATATAAAAATTCTAAGAATTTTTAAATGTTAGCTAATTTAATATTAATTACAAATTCTATGTATCTAAAAATGAATATTTATCATTAGAACTAGCGAAGCCAATGAATATGAATACATCCAACGTAGCAAGCTACCAACAATGCATTTTCAAGATTCTCTGCCAAGATTGCCGATTCCAAAGCTCGAAGACTCTTGCAGAAGGTACTTGAAAGCCCAGCAGCCGATTTTGACTGCCAAAGAGTTCAAAGAAACATCCACGTGTGTCTTAAAATTTCTTTCTGATGAAGGACCTCCCCTGCAAAAGTTGCTCCTGGAAGATGATAAATATAACAAGCACACTAGTTACATCAGCGGTTATTGGTTTGATATGTACTTAAGGGACAGAAAGCCTCTGCCGGTTAATTATAACCCCCTGCTGGTTTTTGTTCAGGAACAAGATCTTCGTTATAACAAACCCCTGGTGAAAGCTACCAACCTGCTCATTTCTTCCGCAAGATTTATGAAGTCTCTGAGAGCTGAAATTCTAGAGCCTGAAGTCTTCCACCTTGACCCCAAAAAATCAGACACTGATTTTTTTAGAACAGTTACAGGATTACTGCCGTCAAAAATTGCTACTTATGGAGCCTACCTCTTTAAAGTAAGTCAAATTTATCTACTGGGAACATTAAATTAATTAAATATTTAAAAATTACATAATTTTTTAGGCTTATCCGCTAGATATGTCCCAGTTTCCATATCTATTTGGGACAACTCGCATTCCTCTGCCGACCAAAGACGATCTGAGCCACGACCTTACATCAAAACACATAGTAATAATGCGTAAAGGTCATTTCTACTCGATGGACATCATCGACAGCAGTGGAAAAATTCTTCCGCCCTTGGAAATAGCTTCTTGTTTAAATTTTGTACTGAATGACCCGAGACCGCCTAATGACTGTCCAGTTGGAGTCTTGACAACAGCCCACCGTGACCAGTGGGCTAAAATTCGGGGCCATTTGCTAGCTTTGGGCAATGAGGGTGTCTTGCATAAAATAGACTCGGCTGCATTTGTGTTTGCCTTGGATGATGATCATATTGAAGATGATTATATTAAATTAATGAGATTATTCTTGCACGCTGACGGAACTAACAGGTGGTTTGATAAGTCCTTTTCGTTGATAATGTCAGGCGACGGGGTCGCTGGGATTAATTTTGAACATTCTTGGGGTGATGGTGTTGCTGTTCTTCGCTATTTCAAAGTAAAAAATTAAATTATCTTTAATTAAAATTTTACTTTATTAAATAATGACTTTTCTTAAATTGCTCTGTGATTTCTTAAATATTGAAGTTTTTAAAGATATAAGCTCATCCCGATGTTATACACTCATCAAGAGCTTTCATTTGAGTACCCACATGCATTTTCATATATATAAAAAATATATGAAAAATATATGAAAAATAGATGTGGGTACTCAAATGAAAGGTCTTGATGAGAGTAACATCGGGATGAGCTTATATCTTTAAAAATGTCAATATTTCACAAGATACAAGGTCATTCCTTAATTATTTATTATCTAGAGATAGAGCATTTTTGAATACAGCTAACTTACTTACAATTTAAAAATTTAATATTTCAGAATTTAAAACATGATATTTCTAACAACCCACACTTTCATCCCGAAGACGAAGCTTCAGTATCAAGTTCACCAACTTCAATAAGAAAACTGGACTTCAAATTAGATGATAAAATAAAAGGAATAGTTCAGTGTAATTTCAATGAGTATAAATCTTGGACTCAAGATAGATTAAGTATTGATTATTTAATTTTTGAAGAATTCGGCAAGGAAGAGTGCAAGAAATTCAAAGTCAGCCCTGACGCAGTGATGCAGCTGGCGTTTCAACTGGCTCTTTACAAGAAAGAAAAAAGAGCAGTAGCGACCTACGAGTCTTGCAGCACCTCAGCTTTCAAACATGGACGTACGGAGACAGTGAGGTCGTGTACAAATGAAACCATAGCACTTTGCAAGGCTATTGTTGAACATGGAGCTTCCTCAGTCGGTGATGATGAGCTGAAAAAATTGATGTTAGAATGCAGTAAGGCGCACAATAATCTCGTGAAAGAAGCTGCGATGGGCCAGGGCTTTGATAGACATTTATTCGCTTTGAGGAAGATTGTTGAAGAGTCTGAGGGTATCAGAATGCCTCTTCTGTTTAAAGATCCAGCTTATGAAAAATTAAATCACAATATTTTGTCTACTTCGACTTTGTCCAGTCCAGAAGTTATGGCTGGAGGATTTGGACCAGTTGTCGAGGACGGATATGGCATTGGGTATTTTATTTATGATTAATTATTTTGGTTCAAAATTTTTGTCACAATTTTAAAATAAATTGTTTTAATTTTTGATATTTGAAACAAAAGTATAAATTTTTGAAACAAAATTTTTTTTAATTAATTTTAATCAATAAATTATTTTATTTCTAGATATATGATCCAAGATCACAAGCTAGGCTCAGTAGTGACGTCTTACCGAGACCACCGAGACGCTTCAGAATACATTAAGTATTTAAAATCAGCATTTGAAGATATCCATAGGATTTTAAAGAGTAAATAATAAATAAGTATTTTGTTTATAACTATTTATCAGTGCTTTCAATAGCATTTGCATACATACATACATTTAAATATATATATATTTTTTAATACTTTTTATAATTATAACCGTAATTATTATCGAATCTTTTATTTACTATTGTTACAATTTATGTATTACGACGTTGTAATAACCCATGTGAGTTTGTAAACTAAATTTATTATTGTGCAATTACATATATTTTATTATTAAAATCTATAAGTATTTAAATGAATTTATTTAATTTAAAAGGAAGATCTTTTAACAAAAAAAAAACTAAATTTATTACACCAGTTATTACTTGAAAAGGTAGACTGTAAGTTTATATACATATATATCAATTATGCTGTTAATTGTTGACTAACTTTAATCATACATTATTATTATCATTATTAGAATTAGTATTAGGTCTCAATAATTTTTTTCTTTAAACTCATTTACATAAAATCTAACCAATGAGACAATATACAATGAAAGGGCCAAATAAAAAGTGCATTACACCGGCCCTTTCAATCATTATAACACGTTCATTCTGGTTTTCAACATTATTAAGGTAGTTGTAGCGTGAAAGGCATTTCAATAGAAAATTTAATTATGAAATTTTTTTTATTGAAAGATAAATATATTAATAATTTACTACCAAAATTTCAGATCAATTGACCGCACCGTTTTTGAGTAATTAATTTTCGAAATTGCATCTTTTATACGTAGAGGTATAAAGAGATGGTAAAGTTAGTATGAAATCTTCCGTACCACACTCGAGTGGGCCAAATAAAAAAATCTGCAGTAATACCCACACTTACCCTAGCACACATAAATATTCTGAAATAGATTAGAATATAATTTAGTTTATCTCGCATTTTCATTCAGTATATTACTAATTAACACATGTTATATGATAAATAGTAGTTCTTTATGTAATGATTTAAAAATTAAATTGAATTAATTTTAACAATTAATTGATTTATTAAATAAATGATTTTTTTTTTAAGAAAATCAAGAAAAAGATATTCAATACGTCTCTGAGACTGCCGAAATTAATGTACCATCACCAACATCATCAGTAGACAACATGGTTATCGCAGAAAGGCGGGTTCTATTCCATGAATCGGAATTCCACCCAAACGTAAACGGAGTCCACAAAAATACCACCTGGGTTTATGAAAATGGCGGTAATTAAGTACTCGAGAATCGGAGGGATTATAGATCTTTCTAAATCTTTATTAATTCCAAAAATAATAAAATCAGCAGGGCATTGGAACTCATTGACAAACCCTGAGCATCATATTGAAGTCATTCATCAAGTGAATTGTCTATTTAACATCAGAGACGGGTCATCAAAAACCAGGATTTTGAAAGAACTCTACGCTACGAATATATAATTGAAAATTATTGGGTCCCCCCCCCCCCAGTTTCCAAAGCAATTAATCATTGGGATCCCCATTATCCAAATCAATTGATTAAAGTTTTTGACCTGTGGAGAGAGCTTTAGTCCCTGAA